ACATGTTTAATAGCAAAAAGTCAAAAATATAGTTTTTTTCTCAAAATTGTCGGGCTTTTTTTTTCATAGCGCAAAAAATAAAAACTGCACAGGCGATCAAATACCACCAAAAGAAAGCTCAATTCATGGGAAAACGTAAAATTTATTTGGGTTCAGCATTGCATGACCGCACAATTGTCAGTTAAAGTAACGCAGCGCCATAACACAAAAAATGGCCTAGTCAGGAAGGGGGGGTAAATCCTCAGGAGGGCAAGTGGTTAAGCACACCGTGGTCCCAACCCAAAATGGCTTCAGCCTGTTCACCTGTGAGAGAACACCCCTTTAACACATATCACCTAATTTAGGGTGCCATATTGTTGTAGCCACGTTTTGAGCTTGACGAACCTGTACTAGGGTAAACCTGCCCCTGGCAGCAGGAAATGAGCCAGCCGGAGCCACACACCTGGGGCATTTCAGAGGTGCTTCTGTTTGTTTGTTCACTGATTTGTGTGGGCACGCTATTACATGTACTTGCATAGCTGCCAACATTTTGAAAAAACATTCAAGGGACACCTTTTTTTTTGCTGTGCATTCAATAAGCCATTATAGGCAGAGAATAATATTTAATTAGGGGTCGTACGTTCATTCAGAATGGGCCTCATTTTACAGGGGGCATATCATTAACATATTGTACAATTTAATTTTCAAATACTGTAAATTTTAAATACTTTATATATAGGAAGATTTATAATAGTGAGGACGAACGCACAGTCAAGAAGGTGCCGTTCGTTAGTAAAATGATATATATTATTTTGGCTAGCTATAACTTTTATCCTGCATTTTACAGTGTCAGGTGTGGGGAATTATGTATATGGGAAGAAATTATAGGAGTGTCATAAGCTGTATCTGGATACCCTTTGTTTCCTTTTCATTGAAGATAAAAGTGGGGTGCATGCTTGGCAACAATGATAAAATGGTGGCTGTGAAAAGAGCAACCTGCAGCAGTAAGGAGCTTGGAGGGCTTGGCTAATGACACTAATTCACTTTCAATATCTTGGGTTTCCTGCTCTACCATCCTAAGCAAACCTTTCCTTACATAAATGATTTGAGCCCATTATGTAACAACAGAAAAGACCTTTAAGAGACAAGCCAGTATTTCTATTGCTGTGTTGCTATTATTTCAAAATAATGTTCTACAATAATACTAAAGCTAAAAGCTCAAGACAGTAGACAGGGGTAAGCATGAATTTTTCCCTGTGATCCACCCAGAAATATAGGAATCAGGTGGAGAATTAGGATTTGAATCCACTGTGATTGTACCAAGTAATCACTTTTTGTCGCATCCGATAAATACTAGTGTATGGCTATTTTGGCACCTCAGACCAAGTGAACCAAGTGGTCTGCAGTGGTCCTGAATTTTCCAGTTCTTATATTGGTGAGTACAAATTTTCGGTTAGATGGATGATTATCATGAGCAGGTGCTACAGAGGAATTGGTTAATAAGCAGAAAAGGCATACTTGCCCATGTAATATAGGTTAAGGCTCTGCACCTGTTGAAGAACTGCAAGTCTCATAATGCCCAGCCAAGTAAAATGAACCCTAATGTAAGAGGACCACACAGGGCTCTCCATACACTCACCATAATCTCAGGTCTCCTCGGTGGAATATGAACCTCCCTGATTTAATAAGTGACCCACCCTGGCACCCAAAGGCAGCCCCTCCTGGGCCCTGCTGACCAAATGGAGCTGGAGAGTGTTAGGGCGCACCAGGTGGTGATTGGCTGACACCTCTTTTCTCAGAGTTGCTGCTGTCCCCCCCTTTGATTGGTCTTCATAGTGTGTATCTCTCTTGGGTGGGTGGGCCCCTTGGTGAGCCCCAGTCTGCATTCACACTTGAGCGATTTGCAGCCTGAAGCTCCAAGCTCCAAAAAAGCTCAAACTTAAAGATCAATTGTTCTCTATGCTGCCTGTTCACACATGATTGCAAGTAGAGGCACCATAGAGAACAATAGATTTTTTAAGATTGAACGTTTTTGGAGCTGCGAGCTTCAAGCTATAAATTGCTCAAGTGTGAATACAGCCGAATGCTGGTATCCTGGGACAGAGGGCAATTGAATAAACAGCAGGACTGTCCTAGAAAATCCGGGACAGCTGAAAAAATATGCACTTGGTAAAAACAGAGGCGGTATCCATATAATAAAACACTAATGATTGTTTACCCTTGTTGGTTTATATGTAAAAGTAAAAATACATAAAAACATTTCAAAGCAAACCTCAATGAAAATATAGATTATTTAATCCAATGTAGATACAACTGTTTGAGTTAGAAGTCAAGGCATGACATTACCTTGGTTTTGGCAATTCTGTATCTTACTGCATTTTAGTGCAGTCCTTTAGGCTGCTTTTATTACCTCTCCCATAATCTTACTGTTGAAATGTTTGAACTGCCTGCTCAGCCAAAAGGTTTTTGATTTGTTTTTTTAGATGGAGTGGGGAAGGGTCCAATATGTCAATAGTAAAATCAGTTGCCAAATTATGAAGGGGTGTCACTGGGACCGGAAGTGGGGGAAAATTTCACCAGAGCCACAAACAACAATGACAGCATCTTTATTTCATAAAGAAGGAAGGGTTAGAATTTCTATCAGGTGGTTATTGTTATTTCTGTACCTAGTAGGGAGTTTTCACTACACTTTTTTCCCAGCGAGTCAGGTTATGACAAAGACAGGAAATGAGGAGAGATTTTACCAACGGGGACACAATAAAACCCACGCAGATGTTCTGCTCCTTCTTCACTCTGTCCACAAAACTATAGAATTGAAGGGGGGGTGACTAGGATTTACTGTGAACCAGATGTTTTGTTCCCCTCAGCACAGTAAAGGAGAGGGAGTACAGCAATCCCAGTGATTTGTAATAGTAATGCTTTTTAGTAACACACTTGTGTAAAGAGTCATAATGTCGATCTGTTGAATGCAGCTGCATAACCTTCTGTAACGTCTTCAGTACTGGATGTGTTTACCGCCCCCCCTCCTGCCCAGGCCAATTTTCAGCTTTTAGTGCTGTCACACCAATTTCAATTAGTTATATAACACAGTACCCAAATTACATTATTTCGTTTTTTTTAGATAGAGCTTTCTTTTGGTGGTAATAAATAATCTTTTTGTTTATGTTACATAGTTAGTCTGGCTGAAAAAAGACAGAAGTCCATCCAGTTAAACCATTAAAAAAAGTTATAATCCTACACCCACAGTTGATCCATAGGAAGGCAAAAAACCCAGCAAAGCATGATCCAATTTGCTCTTGCAGGGGAAAAATTCCTCCTTCCTGATCCCCCGAGAGGCAATTGGATATTCCCTGGATCAACTTGACCTAAAATGTTAGTATCCATTATATTCTGTGTATCCAAGAAAGAATCCTGGCCAGAACCAACTCTTGAAGGAGTCTATTCCACATTTTCACAGCTCATACTGTGAAGAAACCTTTCCATGTTTGGAGATTAAATTTCTTTTCCTCCAGACATAAAGAGTGCCCCCTTGTCCTTTGTGATGACCTCAAGGTGAATAGCTCTATACCGAGTTCACTATATGAACCACTGATGTATTTATACATGTTGATCATATCCCCTCTTAATCTCTTCTTACAAGAGAGAAATAAATTCAGTTCCTCTAATATTTCCTCATAGCTGAGCTCCTCTATGCCTCTTATCAGTTTGGTTGCCCTCCTCTGTACTTTCTCCAGTTCCCTAATGTTCTTTTTGTGAATTGATGCCCAAAACTGAACTGCATATTCCAGATGAAGTCTTACTAATGATTTGTACAGGGGCAAAATGATATCTCTTTCTCTGGAGTCCACAGCTTGGCATTGCATGCCATTATTAAGCTTGTGATCTACCAGAACTCCCAGATCCTTCTCCACCATTGATTTCCCCCAGTTGTACCCCCCCCCCCTAGTATGTATGCTTCATATTCTTAGCCCCCAAGTACATAACCTTACATTTATCAACATTAAAGCTCATTTGCCACATAGTTGCCCAATTAAACAGTGCATTGAGGTCGGCTTGTAAGTTGGAGACATCCTGTAAGGACGTTATTCCACTGCACAGCTTGGTGTTGCAGTATTTGTTTCATCTTTGTGTATCACCTGAGGCTAGTCACTTCACTGGGTATATGTTTACAAACCACCATTACCATTCGTATTTTCAATGGGGGTACACAAATCATGCATTAGTATGGGAAATAGAACAGCTACAGTTTTGCTCAAAAGTTTACATACCCTGGCAGAAATTGTGAAATTTTGGCATTGATATTGAAGATATGACTGATCATGCCTAAAAAATGCTCTTTTATTGAAGGATGATGATCATATGAAGCCATTTATTATCAAATAGTTTTTTGGCTCCTTTTTTAAATCATAATGATAACAGAAATCACCCAAATGGCCATGATAAAAAGTTTACATACCCTGGAATGTTTGGCCTTGGTACAAGACACACAAGGTGACACACACGAGTTAAAATGCCAATTAGAGGTTAATGTCCACATCTGTGGCTTTTTAAATTGCAATTCGTGTCAGTGTATAAATAGTCAATGAGTTTGTTAGCTCTTACATGGAACACTGACTAGGCTATATACTGAGCCATGGGGATCAGAAAAGAGCTGTCAAATGTCCTGCGTAACAAGGTAATGGAACTTTATAAAGATGTCCTTTATAAAGGACATATAAAGATGTCCAAAGATGGGCAAAGGGTGTAGTCACTTTTGTTTCCAGAGGTTTAGACATTAATGGCTGTGTGTTGAGTTATTTTGAGGGGACAGCAAATTTACACTGTTATACAAGCTGTACACTCACTACTTTACATTGTAGCAAAGTGTCATTTCTTCAGTGTTGTCACATGAAAAGATAATAAAATATTTACACAAATGTGAGGGGTGTACTCACTTCTGTGAGATACTGTACTTCTTGTGTATATACCTGCCTCCTGTAATTTTGCAGTTCACTAATACAAACTATTGTTTGTGATTTCAGAACACCATGGATACCGGCTGCTTAAAGTTCAACCCAAGGCCTGGAAAGGTAAATTATAGAGTCAGATCCCTCCAAGTGATGTAATAATGCTAATATAAAAATACAGTATATAGGGAAGCAGTTGGTCATATTCCAGCTGATTTTCCAGCTAAGACTCCCATTTATCAGACACTGTTGTTGTCTAATCTGTCAGATTCTTTCATCCTCACTGTTCACAAGCAGATTAAACGACCCCCTCCTCTTCTCTATAATACAAGTCTGTGTAAGGATACTTGTTTTAATGGGTGTGGCTGACACTCAGCTTTGCCAGCACAGAGCATTATAGTGGGAGTTCAGAGAGCACCAATTTCACTGAGCGAAAAAAGTTATCGTAAGGCATTTCCAAGCAAAATTCAGTCACAAAGCATAACATTCGGGATACATGACTATGAAAAAATAAAAAGGTGTCTGACTTAGTGATTTAACTTGAATGACAATTTGCAGATCTACACCAAAGTACAGCATAAAAAGACCTTCTTGTCCATTTCCTCCAAAGCACTGAGGTGCAAAACTCTATTTATTTTTTCATGTCCATGTATATTGCCTACACTGGAAGATAGAGCAGAATGCATGACATCACACTCAGTCACAATGAGCCTATAGTGTCAGAGACATTTTTGTGTCTATCTGGGCCCTTGCTCATACAGTAACATAAAGCTGAGTATAATGAGAGTAGTAACTAATACTGGAAGTGCACAATTTGGCATCAAATTTAGATGTTCGGACTACAAACTTCAACATTGTTGCTTCCAATGTATTTTAATTTACCTAATCTGACTTATTGATTTTTCAGTGAGGATTTCCTTTTATCTCATTTAAAAGCTGTTTGTTTCAATACCGGCACACTGCATACTAATAGAACCCTTTCAGTGTCAGGGGCACCAGTAGTTCATTACAAAACAGCATCCTAATTAACTTGTTCTGCTAAACACTCGTCATCAACAAATTACTCTGCAAAACAAGGCAAGCTCATCTGAAGGTTCAAGGAGTTGCCTTTGTAATCTTTACACAACATGGCAAATTAACATTTTATTAGCAAACTACAAAGGAGCTGTTCTAATATGCCCCTGGCTGGTAATAAATAATCCTAATTGATTCCAGGCTGATTTATCTATTTCCAGAACATGAGCCAGAGACTGTGGTTTGGTATTATTAATATGTCTGGGAGAATTTTACGACAATATCAATGAACCCAGGGCCTTTGTTAAATGGGTAAAACGCCATGAGGGGCTCTGATTTAAGGGAATTATTCTGGCAAATATAGTTCAGCATGGAACTAGGGATGCAAGGGAATGAACTGCTACCATATCCCTTGGACTTCTATAGGGGTTGGATTCCTTAGCAGGTAAAACCTTGTAGGTACAGATATCCTCATCTCCAGAAAGGCCTTGGTGAATTGCTTGCACAGCCTTGAATCTGAGACTGAAAAAACAGAACTTTCCTGGTTCTAAGCACTGCCTCCTCCAGGTCCTGTAGAACAAGGTTGTAAAACAGACAAGAGAAGGCTGTAGTTTCATCAAGGAGCACTTAGTAAATGTTGTAGCATCACAATAATAAGAAATTTCTGCTAGTTACTGAACAAGGCAAGAGATATCTGAAAGTTGGTGACTTTTTTTTAGTTCTTTTTGACTGCTGCTGTTATGGTGGAAAGTCTGTGGTTTCCCACTTAGCAAATGAATTGCTCTCTGGCTGTGTAGGATCCTTGTAGTGTGGTTGGAAGATGGTTCTATATTGAGGCTTTTATCAGTCATCAACTAGACTCCTTTCTTTGTTGTAATACAGATTAATAAAACATTCTGTGCTAATTTATTGTTTATGAGCTGTGGTATAGGCCAACTGCCCAATTTAACACCATAGACTGGAAACTAAGCTGCACAAACCTGAGGGCTTATCTGTATCCCTCAACTTGTTCATGTATTAAGGAGTATCTTTACTAGATTATTTAGTAAGAACAATAGTAAGGTGCAGAATGCAGTAACTCCTATTTCAATATACTTACCCCTTGCCCCATTTATGACTCCAATGTAAGATTAAAGGGTCAGTCCATCTAAAATGTTTATCTTCTAGGGATCTTATTGGTTAAATATCTGCACTTGAGTTCCTGGGTCTGTGCACCTGCAGTGGCCAATATGAGTGTTTCCCCTTATCCTAGTTTTATGTCTATATATTTTATATCATGAAAATTCAACAGAAGGGGGTGGGACATATATACAGTCAGGTCCATAAATATTGGGACATCAACACAATTCTAACATTTTTTTGGCTCTATACACCACCACAATGGATTTGAAATGAAACAAACAAGATGTGCTTTAACTGCAGACTGTCAGCTTTAATTTGAGGGTATTTACATCCAAATCAGGTGAACGGTGTAGGAATTACAACAGTTTGCATATGTGCCTCCCCCACTTGTTAAGGGACCAAAAGTAATGGGACAAAATAATAATCATAAATCAAACTTTCACTTTTTAATACTTGGTTGCAAAATCCTTTGCAGTCAATTACAGCCTGAAGTCTGGAATGCATAGACATCACCAGACGCTGGGTTTCATCCCTGGTGATGCTCTGCCAGGCCTCTACTGCAACTGTCTTCAGTTCCTGCTTGTTCTTGGGGCATTTTCCCGTCAGTTCAGTTTTGTCTTCAGCAAGTGAAATGCATGCTCAATCGGATTCAGGTCAGGTGATTGACTTGGCCATTGCATAACATTCACTTCTTTCCCTTAAAAAACTCTTTGGTTGCTTTTGCAGTATGCTTTGGGTCATTGTCCATCTGCACTGTGAAGCGGCGTCCAATGAGTTCTGAAGCATTTGGCTGAATATGAGCAGATAAAATGCCCGAAACACTTCAGAATTCATCCAGCTGCTTTTGTCAGCAGTCACATCATCAATAAATACAAGAGAACCAGTTCCATTGGCAGCCATACATGCCCACGCCATGACACTACCACCACCATGCTTCACTGATGAGATGGTATGCTTAGGATCATGAGCAGTTCCTTTCCTTCTCCATACTCCTCTCTTCCCATCACTCTGGTACAAGTTGATCTTGGTCTCATCTGTCCATAGGATGTTGTTCCAGAACTGTGAAGGCTTTTTTAGATGTCGTTTGGCAACCTCTAATCTGGCGTTCCTGTTTTTGAGGCTCACCAATGGTTTACATCTTGTGGTGAACCCTCTGTATTCACTCTGGTAAAGTCTTCTCTTGATTGTTGACTTTGACACACATACACCTATCTCCTGGAGAGTGTTCTTGATCTGGCCAACTGTTGTGAAGGGTATTTTCTTCACCAGGGAAAGAATTCTTCGGTCATCCACCACAGTTGTTTTCCATGGTCTTCCGGGTCTTTTGATGTTGCTGAGCTCACCGGTGCGTTCCTTCTTTTTAAGAATGTTCCAAACAGTTGTTTTGGCCATGCCTAATGTTTTTGCTATCTCTCTGATGGGTTTGTTTTATTTTTTCAGCCTAATGATGGCTTGTTTCACTGATAGTGACAGCTCTTTGGATCTCATCTTGAGAGTTGACAGCAACAGTTTCCAACTGCAAATAGCACACTTGAAATGAACTCTGGACCTTTTATCTGCTCATTGTAATTGGGATAATGAGGGAATAACACACACCTGCCCATGGAACAGCTGAGAAGCCAATTGTCCCATTACTTTTGGTCCCTTAACAAGTGGGAGGCACATATGCAAACTGTTGTAATTCCTACACCCTTCACCTGATTTGGATGTAAATACCCTCAAATTAAAGCTGACAGTCTGTAGTTAAAGCACATCTTGTTTGTTTCATTTCAAATCCATTGTGGTGGTGTTAGAGCCAAAAATGTTAGAATTGTGTTGATGTCCAAATATATTATGGATCGGACTGTAGTTGAAGGGAAACACCCAGAACTCCCAGGTCGACAGTCTGAAATTGTGGCAGACATCTCACTGACGGTGTTCCCAAAACTAATTTAGCCCACCAGACTGTATCTGTAATTAAAATATTATTTGCAGTGGGCTGACCTTTTAACCACTGAAATGAGTTATTCATTTTAGCCAGAATACAGCATCCTTATGTTCCTGATAGAATTCAATAACCTATCTTTCACCCTAAATATAGGAAATCTATATCTCAAGTCAGTGTACAGGAAGGGCATAGAGAGTTATTATGTGCTGATGGCCTTTTTAATGTATCATTTATCCATTTTTTTTCATGTACACTAACTATATAAATCTTTGATGTTTCAAAGACATAGTTAAACTTTGTGTGCAGATGTCCACATTGATTAAGTGCCTACAGACAGCCAAATGATGTTGTTATCTTAATTCAATGCAGGTGATCCTGTCAGATGTTGTACATCAGGAGAACAAGATTGAACTAAAAGGAGATGCTCTTGATGCAACATCCTGGGTGTTCCCAAATGGTGTAAATATTCGTGTGATCAGAGGATGGTAAGGGAAAATAAGAAACACATTTGGAATTTCAACCAACTTGCTGCACATTTTACTACAGATGTGTAGCTTGTATATTCCTTCTAATGCTATTACCTTTTTATTGCTTACTTGACAACTGTTAATACAAAAAAAAACAAGTATAATCAGTTATACCTCATTTGTTTTTTATGTTACTACTGGATTTATTTGACTTTTTAAAGCAGTTTTTCTTCATTTCTCATTATTCTTTGAGGTTTTTAAAGTGAAAGCTACAGTTTTTTGGAAGAAGCTAAAAACCTAACAACCACTACACTAAAAGACAGACAGAAACACTTTAAAGCATGTTGTGTAAATCTAATCTCGACTGAATATTTGTACTTCTGAAACCAGATGTATGTTTTGCCTTACAGCCAATTTTGACTTTTAACACATCCACCCAAGCCTCCCTAGATGTAATCAGAGAGTTAAAGGAGAAATTATGTGTATTATATGGTCTGCCCTCCAGAAAGTCATATATCATTTTATGGGAGATACTGGAAAATACAACCACTGAATTTTGAAATATCCTTTGGAGACATGAATGACCATGCATAATGGGCAGCACAGTGATTAGCACTTAGCAATACTAGGATCAAATCCCAACCATGGCTGGCACTACCTGTAAGGCCTCTTGTACACAGTACTGATGTTTGAGCATCTGCTTTTTTTAAATATAATTTCATGTGCTTGTTTTGTGTGTATTTGCACGTATTTTTCTGCGCATATTTGTGCATGTGCGTGAATTTGCGTGTGTATGTGTGTTTGTGCATTTGCGCACACAATATATTCTTAGGGATAATAATTGATATTTCTGATGATATGCACATATTCACACATATTTGTGCTCAGGCAGCATAAATTACTGACCACAAATGCTGATTTAATGGGCTACATTTTAGATCAGTAAAAAAAACACCGCTGTACTGAGCTTTTTCAAGCTGTAGTGTGCAAGAGGCCTAAGAGTTTGCATGTCCTCCCTGTGCCTGCATAGGTTTAATGAAAGTACTCTGGTTTCCTTCTGCACTCCAAAGACATCTGGTAGGTTAATTGGCTCCTGTCTAAACAGTCCCTAGTTTGTATATGCCTATGAGTTGGGGACCGTAGATTGTAAGATCCTTGAGGCAGGGACTGATGTGACTGTATAATACATACTGTATGTAAATCACTGCGAGAATTGTTGGCACTTTATTATACCTAAATACATAAAATGACCATGAACCTTTACGTGTAATCTTAGAACTGCACTTCTGTCCCACTATCTTTGTTGAGACTGTAAAGTGGTACTCCAGACAACCAGGCAAAATGGATTGTTTATGTTTACTGTTTTATTTGCCAAAAGATTGGTTGTTTTGGCAGACAAGTCTCTACAGCAACTGCATTGATGAAACCAAGAAGACAAATTACTTAACTAGGAACTCCAAGGGGTCTATTTATAAAAAAAATCCTACGGAAATGTCTCAAGCATTTGAACACTGATCTTAAATAATCCCTGTATTTTTGCTTTATATATGTATTTCCTATGATCATCAGCTCTATCTAGTGGCCTATCTATTTAGATGCCATTCATAGAATGATTTGCATTTTCTAAATGAATGCAAAGCATTCTCTAATTGCACTAGGTAGTGAGGCAGGTCGGTGCCATTCTCTGATTGACCCCTGTGCCTTTCTGTGTTCACAATGCAGGAGAGCAGCTGCTTAGCCCAGGACCCATAAGAAGTGGAGGTCACTGGAGTAGCGGTGTCTACTTCAGTGATTTCCGTCTTCCAGGGGCATTGGCCAACTGGACCATGTAACTATGTACAACACTCCAATGCCTGGAATCATTCTGTAAAAAGACATTTTCATCATCACCTGTGTGGATTTTGAAAAATGCTTACACATTGCTATATATATTTTATAAATTTAGACATGCAAGTCATTTTTGAGAAAAATATATTTTGTTTTTCATAATGGATAGAGTGTAGAATTGTTAAAAACATCTCTTTTTTTGTAACATCTTTGTCCCATTGGAGAGACTTTCCTTCACTTCCTGTCCTGTAGATACAATAGGAAGTGAGAGGAAAAGAAATTCCCTATTAGACAACTGTCAGTTCAACAAGTATCCCTACTGGAATTATAATAAACAGAACAAATAGAGAGGGTGAATCTCTTTAGTGGGGGACACTGACTATAGTTAAAACATAATAGGGTCCTAAACACTCTCCTCATAACTCTATCCAAAATTAAAAACAAAAATATTAGGCTTTAGAAAGCCTTTTTTAAAGCTGGACATCTGTAAAAACAAATATCCAAATACTAGAGGCATGTGTATTCTAACATTCTTGGTGTGCTTTGTGTATTATATCCAGATCTGTGCAGTAGTCCGGTGCAAAACTTTACCTCTGTACAGGAGCTTCCTGTAGTAAAGACTGATCACTACTGCTCTCTCTCATTGTGCAGTGTGACTGGTCTTGTCTCCACCCCCTATTGTAATTTTCTGAAGGCAGCCTGTAGTGTTTAGGGTGTGCTAGGTGCCTCCCACAGCTATGCTTTCTGCACAAGTAATGTACAGCATAGTGATGATGTCTCTGCTATTTATACAGTATCTCACAAAAGTGAGTACACCCCTCATATTTTTGTAAATATTTTATTACATCTGAAGAAATGACACTTTGCTACAATGTAAAGTAGTGAGTGTACAGCTTGTATAACAGTGTAAATTTGCTGTCCCCTCAAAATAACGCAACACACAGCCATTACTGTCTAAACTGCTGGAAACAAAAGTGAGTACACCTCTAAGTAAAAATGTCCAAATTGGGCCCAATTAGCCATTTTCTCTCCCCGGGGTGTGACTCATTAGTGTTACAAGGTCTCAGGTGTGAATGGGGAGCAGGTGTGTTAAATTTAGTGTTATCGCTCTCACTTTCTCATACTGGTCACTGGAAGTTCAACATGGCACTTCATGGCAAAGAACTCTATCTGAAAAAAAGAATTGTTGCTCTACATAAAGATGGCCTAGGCTATAAGAAGATTGCCAAGACCCTGAAACTGAGCTGCAGCATGGTGGCCAGGACCATACAGCTGTTTAACAGGTTAAGTTCCACTCAGAACAGACCTCGCCATGGTCGACCAAAGAAGTTGAGTGCACATGCTCAGCGTCATATCCAGAGGTTGTCTTTGGGAAATAGATGTATGAGTGCTGCCAGCATTGCTGCAGAGGTTGAAGGGGTGGGTGGTCAGCCTGTCAGTGCTCAAACCATATGTTGCACACTGCATCAAATTGGTCTGCATGGCTGTCGTCCTAGAAGGAAGCCACTTCTAAAGATGATACACAAGAAAGCCCACAAACAGTTTGCTGAAGACAATGCAGACTAAGGACATGGATTACTGGAACCATGTCCTGTGGTCTGATGAGACCAAGATAAATTTATTTGGTTCAGATGGTGTCAAGCGTGTGTGGCAGCAACCAGGTGAGGAGTACAAAGACAAGTGTGTCTTGCCTACAGTCAAGCAAGGTGATGGACTGGCCAAGCATGTCTCTAGACCTAAACCGTATTGAGCATCTGTGGAGCATCCTCAAACGGAAGGTGGAGGAGCGCAAGGTCTCTAACATCCACCAGCTACGTGATGTCATCATGGAGGAGTGGAAGAGGACTCCAGTGGCAACCTATGAAGCTCTGGTGAACTCCATGCCCAAGAGGGTTAAGGCAGTGCTGGAAAACAATGGTGGCCACACAAAATATTGATACTTTGGGCCCAATTTGGACATTTTCACTTAGGGGTGTAATCACTTTTGTTGCCAATGGTTTAGACCTTAATGGCTGTGTGTTGAGTTATTTTTAGGGGACAGCAAATTTACACTGTTATACGAGCTGCACACTCACTACTTTACATTGTAGCAAAATGTCATTTCTTCACTGTTGTCAAATGAAAAGTTATAATAATATAATTATAATAAATTATAAAAAATGTGAGGGGTTGTACTCACTTCTGTGAGATACTGTACATGATAATAATGTTTTTTTCAAAGGAATTTGTTGCACACATAGTGAATTTATATCCTTAGTGACTATTGAGGAATATATTTAAATAACAGTTTTTGTGCCCGGAGTTCAGCTTTAAGTTTCAATAGTTTATTTACCATCTTCCTCCAAGCTTTCTATCCTTTCTTCATTAAAAACAAACTTCATCAATGCTGACTTCAGTATACAAAGGTCTGTTTTAAATTTATATTCGTGTGTAAATATCATTGCAGTAAACCAGAAGTTATTATGAGCAGCAGGAAAATTCCGTGTTTCTATAGTAACAAGCAACTTCCGAAATGTGAACTTCACAGACAAAATCTGCATTGTGCATTATTGGATAATTAGGCTTTCACCAGCAGACACAACTACCTGGCAGAACTGAGGGCACCTGTGAAATATGTCACATTCCTCCTAGAGATGTTCTTTAGCTCCCTTATTAGGGCCATTAAACATTAGTATTTATGGCCTGGCTTTAGTGTGACCACTTCATCTTCTTCTAATATTGTCTGGAATGTGTTTAGTGCATGCAAGTAGTCTGCAGGATTTATGGCTATACTTTCAAGAGGAAATTGCTTATTTTCTGTGTTGGCTATGTTTACAAAAGGGAAAAAAATAACAGCTTAGGAAGCGATAGGAAAAAAATATACATAAAGACGGACTGTGTGTCTGTGTAATATAAGCAGATTTATAGCATATAAATTCATGTTTCCTTCCAGTGTACATGAATGGCATAATCCACAGAATACGCTGGGGTTAAGGAGTATAAGGTGCACTGTGCTAAATACAAGGTGTAATAATTACTAAAACCCAGCAGGATCTGTCTGTTGCTGGTCTGATTCCAAAAAGAGAACTTTTTGGTTGGTTGCTTTGAATTATTGCACTTTGTGCTTAGTGTACTTTACAAATGAGCCAACGACATCATATTCTTCTGAAAGTTATCACTGAAAGGTCTAGCACTGCAGTTTGCTATCTATAACCTTAGGTGAGCTGAGCTGCAGACTTCCACAGGTAATACCCTTTACAAAGACAACAAAGGTAAGTAAAATTTAGAAGGTATATATTTTGTGTTATTATGATCCACTTTGTAAATACATTTTGATATGAATTACACATTTCTATCAGCTAGTTTTACCAAATTTATTGGAAATGTCCTATTTACAACCAGTTAGATGCTTCACTTACCTGTGGTGTGTTAGACAGTACAGTACGTTTAATTGCTTAATGGTTGCTGAGAGAAAAGCAAGTAAAGGTTAAAGCAGAGCTTCACCCAAAAGGGGAAGTTCCACCTTAAGGCCTCCCTCCCCCACCTCTTTACTTAATGGCACTTTTTTGGTGGGGAGACAAGATACCTGGTTTTGACAAGTACCCGCTCCCACTTCTGTCAACATGTATAAATACATCAGTGTTTCATATAGTGAACTCGATGTAGAGTTATTCACCCTGAGGTTATCACAGAAGACAAGGGGGCACTCTTTACAGTATGTCTGGAGGAAAAGAGATTTAATCTCCAAATACGGAAAGGTTTCTTCACAGTAAGAGCTGTGAAAATGTGAAAATGAAAATGAGACTCCCTCAAGAGTTGGTTCTGGCCAGCTCAGTGGATTGCTTTAAAAAAGGCCTGGATTCTTTCCTAGATACACAGAATATAACTGGATACTAACATTTATACCAGGGTGGATTTGATTTAAATCAAACTGATTTAAATCACGATTTAAATCACTAGTCAGTAAGGCTTGATTTAAATCATAGTTTTCTACATAAAGACTAATTCTTGCTGGTATAAATTTTAATATGCAAGTAGATAAAGATTTTTAGAATAACAACTTTTCATATTAGTTTTTTATCCCCAGTTTAATAGGTTAATCATTCGTATTTGGACAACTTTTCTGTTGTACTTGGGAAGGAGAAAAATAATCATTACCTTAATAATAACAATTTAAATAGATTTATTCAACTGAAACAATAACATTACAGCATATATTATTTTCTTAAACAAACATCCGTTTGTTAACTAATTTGGCTAAACAAAATACATATATTTTAAGAAACTTAGACTGTCAGCCCCTTCCTCCTCACACTTAGTTTCACTTTCTTCTTGTGCAGATCTATTCCACTCCAAACAATCAGAAAAATATTGTTTCTATTCTATTCACTGAACTTCTTGAAACTTAGCACTGAAGGGGTTGATTCTGTATTCATAGGTTTGTAGAAGTTAGGATGAATGTCTTTTTCTTAACTCTGTTCATGTTATAACATTATTGCTGTGAAGAAGAGGCATGTGATCTCCGCTGAGTCAAATTCAGTTTTGAGAACTGCAAAGTAAACCAAGCATCTGTGATAATATCTTGTAGGCAGAGAAACTGCCCAATAATCTTACAAAAACCTCTGGAAGAGCATGACATTGTGAATGGATTCATGGAATTTATTTACCAAAAAAATTAAACATATACAGCCTTATTCTACATAATTAAAAAACTAATCTTTATTTCATGATGGAATAACCTTTGGATAGTAATATATTTTCCTCAAAAAGCATTTTATTTAAAAAAAAATCTGATTTAAATAAAACAAATCTGATATAAATCAAAAAAAATTTGATTTAAATCAAAAAAATCCGATTTTTTTTTTGATTTTTTAAAAAAAAATCATTGATTTTTATCCACCCTGATTTATACTGTTGGTAAAGTTGATCCAGGGAATCAGGAAGGTATTTTTTCCCCTGCAGGAGCAAATTGGATCATGCTTTGCTGTTTTTTTTTTTTTGCCTTCCTCTGGATCAACTGTGGGCATAGGATTATACCTTTTTTTTTGGTTGAACTAGATGGACTTTTGTCTTTTCTCAGCCAGACTAACTATGTAACTATATGTAACTATGTAACTTCTGCTTCAACCGCCTAGGCGATTGGAGAAGTCCCCCCCCCCCCCACTTTCTCCCCGCAGCCTTCTGGGACATGTGACAGGTCCTTGAAGACTGTGGGACCATTCACAAAGCACAGGTGGGTACCCAGCTGTGAATCCGGGTGCTCATAGTTGAGATGCCGACACCAGGGATAGGACAGCAATGTAAAGAAAGGCTCGGGTGAGCACATCATTGGATCTTGGGACAGGCAAGTGTCTGTTTATAAAAAGTCAACACCTATAGTTTTGTAGCTGTTGACTTGAAAGTGTTTCACGCTCATTAAAGTGAAACTCCAGGTAAACAGCTAAATGCACATCTTAAATACATATACTGTATATTTACTGGTTTGCCTACAAAATTAGTCATAATTCTGTATAGTCTTGTGATTTACACACTTCTGCTTTTTAACAAAGCAGGTGAAACACTTATTTATTGCTTTAGCAATTCCGCTTCCAATGTCTGCTCTTTGCCTCCAGCCTGTTTATTGCACAGTGAGTCAATATCATCACTCCTGTCTGTCAACTAGAAGGTGGTATAGACGGATATTCTTTGGCTGTAGTAAGTGTGTAAATCAGAAGAGTGCCTAATGAAAACAACATATTAAAATTTATAAATATCTATATATAGATATATATATATTCGGGTGGCACAGTGGCTTAGTGGTTAGCTCGTCTTCCTTGCAGTAAATGGGTCATGGGTTCAATTCCCGACCATGACGCCTCCTGCATGGAGTTTGCATGTTCTCCCTGTGCTTGTGTGGGTTTCCTCCCACACTCCAAAAGTCATGCTGGTAGGTTAATTGGATCCTGTCTAAATTGGCCCTAATATGTGTATGTATGAATGTAAGTTAGGGACCTTAGATTGTATGCCCCTGGAGGGTTAGGGACTGATGTGAATGTTCAAATATATATGTGTAAAGCACTGTGTAAATTGACAGCGCTATATAAGTACCTGAAATAAATATATATCATATATTTTATACTGTGTAAATATGTAGTTTGTGTATGTGTTTTTATTTATATATATATATATATATATATATATATATATATATATACACACACACACAGCACTCCAAAAATTAAAAAGGAACACTTTTTAATCAGAGTATAGCATCAAGTCAATTAAGCTCCTGGGATGTTGATCTGGTCAGTTAAGTAGCAGAGGGGGTTGTTATTTCAGTATCTTTGGTGTTAATTACATTAATAACAGATGCACTAGGTGGGCAACAATGAGACATGAGAAAACCCCCAAAACAGGAATGGTTTTACAGGTGAAGGCCACTGACATTTTTTTCCCTACTCATCTTTTCTGACTGTTTTTCACTAGTTTTGCATTTGGCTAGGGCAGCGGTTCTCAACCTGTGGGTCACGACCACTTTGGGGGTCGAAAAAACCCTTTCACAGGGGTCTCCCATGTGATCACCCAGACACATTGGTAATGTGGTCCGTTGTGTCCAGGTGACATACCAATCTCCGGGCTCCCGGGAGCACACTCTGTGAGCTGCGCAGGAGCCACCGATGTGGGCTGACGTACAGGTACAGCAGCCTGCATCGGCAAAGCTTCCTGTCCATCGTCTATATGCAGTGGGTGGTGGATGGGAAGAGGTTACAATAGAAATGAAAGGTAAAACATTTGTGTATAGATATGAAAAAACATTATATATACCTTTTTTTCCCTTTTTTATAAGCGATCACATACCCTTTGTTCTCAGCTACAGAGAGAGGTGAGGGTGGAGAAACAGCAGTACACTGATCTTCCCAGTGAATGGCTGTAAAGGGGGCGTGTCAGCACAGGCCTGATCATTGGAGAACAGGTGCAGATCTCGGCACAACTATAAAACTGACCGTGCTGTGATCTTCTGCCTGGTGAAGTCAGTTTTTAATAGGAAAGCAAAGGGGCACAAGTACATGGTACAGCAGGTACATAACAGCAATATGAAATGTTGGGTTTTCATATTCTCTAATCTGTTCTGAAGAATAGATTGGTGTTTCCTATGTGATCATTAAAAATGCCCATCTAAGGATCATCCTTTATGTGCGGAAGGTGGTCAGATTCTTGTCATTTATAGGTTATGATTTCTTGATCGTGATCAAATATTAATTGATTTGCAGAGGAAATGACTCCTTGTTAGCTAGCATGAATTGCTATACTATGCCTTCCCCATTATTTTTGACTTATAGAAATTATATGTATAACTGTTTGCAGCTGTGTATCTTTATATGCTATATATTTCTATCTTTATATGCTATATATTTCTGAGTTCATGTATGTGTGTAGTTTTCCTTTTGGTAATAACCTAACAATAATTTCTACATGGTTGTAAGAGAGATGGAGTAAATTTACTTCCGAAATGTCTCTGCAATTCTCTGCCTGCCTTCTCCCATTACAGTATATATTTCTCCATCACAGCTGGATCCTGTATGAAAAGCCACACTTTGAAGGTCAAGCTCATGTCCTTGAAGAAGGGGAAGCTGTGTTACTGCACCTCTGGGATCCTCCAGGAGCCAGAGCTAAGCCAGATAAAATCAGCATAGGGTCAGTGAAAAGAGTAGTGAAGGTACGTAGGAACTATATGATATTGCATATATGCATTGTGTTTGTTTACCCCTTGGGCAACATCTTTCTTTGATGGAACACTGTGCTAAAAGAAAAGTGGATACTTCTATTGATTTGCACTTGGTGAATGTATTTGTTCAATTTTTAAATGGAAATAGTAGCAGTCACATTACATCATATATAAAGATTATATACTGTACATAATCTGATTATCAGACATTAGTACAGTACATTTACTGTGCTCTCTGAAAGACTAGTTGTGCTCCTCCCTTGACCATAGCTCTTTCCTGGCAGTTGTATTGTCAGCAAGATGGTAAATTTGCCCATTGACGTGGAAATGTGAACTCTACTACTTGGCTTTTTCAATTCTCAGCATTTTGGGCTTCTTTTTTGTACATTAGAAGTGAATTAAGGTGTGGGGTGTGGTTCTGGCACTTGCACCTTGACAAACCAAATACCCATAATACCATACACCAATAGCCATGCACACTCGATGCAGCTGTATTATTACATGTTGTGTACATTTCAAAATTCTAACAGCAGTTATGTATGCCTTGAAACGTCAGCGTAAAATCACATTTTTTATTTCATACATGTTCAGCTGAACTGCAATACACTAGAATACTGTAGAATTATTGCATAGGAGACCACACTTGTTAGTAAATTCCACATATTTGTAAATTCTGCAGCATGTGTGCACATGTTCACATGCATCACAGGCCCATAGTAAATTCTTTGAAGATATAATTTGCCTTTCCATGCACAATTAATAAGTTGGCGTACACGCATATCATTTAGTTAACCAGGTCCAATTTGTATACTTAGAGAAAGTGTTGTATTGATTGCCGTTTGAGACAAACAGGGGAGATATACTAAAACTGGTGCACACAGAATCTGGTGCAGCTGTGCTTAGTAGCCAATCCGCTTCTAACTTCACCTTGTTCAGTTAAGCTTTGGCAATAAAACCTAGAAGCTCATTGGTTACTATGCACAGCTGTACCACATTCTGTGTGTACCAGTTTTAATACATCTCTCCCTAATTGTCTGTTGTAAAAAGTATTGTTTTAAGGCTGTCATTTGTTTAATGGCTCTGTATAGATGGATAAATACACTACACATTCAGGTTACTTGAGACGTTTACTCCGTTTAATAAATCAATGCTATTAAATCAATTTCTCTGTCTAATTTTAGGTAAGCTATTTATTATTATTGTACAGGATTTATACAGTGCCAACAGTTTGCTCTGTGCTTTACAATATGGGAAGCACAGGGGCTAAATGGTTAGCACTTCCGCCTGGCAGTACTAGGGTCGTTGGTTCGAATCCCAGCCACGGCACCACCTGCCTGGAGTTTGCATGTTCTCCCTGTGACTGCGTGGGTTTCCTCCGGGTACACCGGTTTCCTCCCAGACTCCAAAGTCATGCTGGTAGGTTAATTGGCTCCTGTCTAAATTGTCCCTATTATGTGTATGTATGAACATGAGTTAGGGACTTTAGATTGTACCCCCTTTGAGGGTTAGGGACTGATGTGAATGTACAATATATATGTAAAGCGCTGCGTAAAATATAATGGGAGACAATACAGCAACAATACAGTTCTATACAAGAGGGTTAGGAGGGCACTGCTCCTTGGAGCTTACACTCTAAGAGATATTGATAGCGGATTTCTGATTGGTTGCTAGAATTACATCACTTTATTGTACTTTGCTCTTTTTCATTTCTAAGGTCCACCAACGCTTACAGACTATCACTGTCACATTCTTTAAAATTCTAGAATGCAATCTGTTTCCATTTCTATTTATTTATATATTCAGTACATCAGCACTTATTTTGAACTACTTGAATTCAAATAGAACTTATCTTAATCGTACAGAACAGGACATATATTTGCAGGCCATGGCTTATAAGCATGCTACCTTCAGGTAAGTCACTGGCAAAAACCTTGCCAGGGCTGCCCCTAGAATATACTCATAAAACCCCACTTACTCTGTGGACTATTTAGGTCCAGTGCTGTGGTTTATTTCTATAGTTTCCAGACCCTAAGGACCCCTTTAGGGGTATGTGCATTGTGATGGGTGGAGACTGGACCACTAGTAGGCCCAGCATTGTGCAAGGTAAGACAGGGTATCCCTATATGTTGGCACTGGTTCTTGGCGCAATCCATAGTGCATAGCACAATATGCATTTTATTTTTAGGCAAATATTTTGAAATTATTCTTTTTTATTTCGTAACCCCTGCCATTTTTTCTCTAATGTTTCTGGGCACAATAAATTTAAATTTGAAGGTTTTTCTACTTCTATCTACATTTAGTCTCAGGAGGGTGAAGTATCTGTGTCATACCTCCCAGATTATGTGTTCTTGCCCATATTTTTCCCCAAAAAATACACACTGCATGTTGCTGCACTCCTTTTGCCATCTTTTACAGAGACACCACTCTGGAAGGTGGTGTTAGCTTGGCCGACATTACAACTTGCTGACTGTCTCCTGTCCTCACAGGAGTTGAAGCTTCCCATCAAACATTTAAAAACTTAGAGCCACCAGATTATCCCTACAACACTGGACCTTTCTTCAACAAGCCCACCCAGCCAGGGTGCCATCAGGCAGTGCCACAGCTGTGGCCTCCATAAACCTTTAGGGGGGCACCAGAAGTCAAGCTGGTCTAAAAGAAATAAGTCTTACATTTCAGCTTTCTTGCCCATCCACATCCCTAGAGTGGACAATTGGCAGACAGACTTCCTAAGCCGTGAAAACCTAGACCCAGGGAACTGGTCCCTGAACCCAGAGATCTTTGAAAATCTCTGTCAAAGGTGAGGAAAACCAGATGTGAACATTCTAAATTCCAGGTTCAACAACCCACTGAATAAATTCATGGCCAAAACCAGGGATCCTATAGCCTTTGTAGACTATGCTCTGATGATTCCTTGGTACTCCATTCAAACAGGTGTATGTCTACCCACGACTAACATGCTCCCTTGAAGAGGAAAAGGTTCTGGTGATTCTTATTGCACCAAATTAGCTCAGAAGAACATGGTACATAGCCATACTCAGACTTCTGACAGACAAACCATGGTCTCTTCCAAACAGACCAGACTTACTATTACAAGGCCCCTCATCCATCTTGCTTCTCAGTCACTGACTTTAATTACTTGGTGGTTAAAACCCATGTCTTGATTAATAGGGGTATTTCTGTCCACTTTTCTCAGAGCAAGAAAATCCAATTTGCGCAAAATTTTACCATCACACATGGGAGGCTTACTTTGCCTGGTGTGAGAATTTGAAACTCCTGGGAATACTCTATCACTCGTATTTTGTCCTTTATTCAGTCTGGCCTGGACCAGCAGCTGGCCCTGAGTACCCTTAAAGTGTAACTAAAGGCAAAACTTTTTTTTGTTTTAGTTTCGGATAGAGTGGAGAGGCAAGAGAACATCTGTCAGCTTTTATTACGTGGTTGTGACCCTCTCTATTTGTCTTGTTTACCGTTATTATAGAAAGTGAAAGTAAAATAAAATCCCAAATTTTGGGTTGACACCAGAACAGTAATGGAGGAGAAATCTTCCAATGGGGGACACTAGTTCTGGTTACACGCCAGAATTCCCTTACTTTGGACAGATTTCCTTTCACTTCCTATTTTGGCTATGGGACAGGAAGTGAAGAGAAACCTTCCCAATAAAACACAGACGGCATGTGATCTGACAGGTGGTCGTTCCATTTACATCCAACTGCTCATAGAGCAGAGCTGGCTGTGTCTGTGTCCACTCTGCATTTGCAGAGCAGATACAGACCTGTCATCCACCCTCTTTGCTCAGCTCAGCAGAGGATCAGTGGACAGATCCCCAGCTAAGAAAAATAGATCTTGCCCATGTAAAACAGGCCTAAACCATAACAATGAACTTCAGAGCTGTTCTGTGTCTTGTGCACACTTCCTGTGTTATCTCAAGAAGTCTAATTAGTCCTCCTAATTCTTATCTAGTGCTGTAGAATGTTGTAGAGATGAGCAAATTGGAAAGATTAAGCAGTTTAGCAAAGGACAACTGGGTTGGCTGAAACCACTCATTTTACAAAAATGCTGGGTGTTATCAGTCCAGGAAAGGAACAATAGGATTTAGGAGCTGAGTGCATTTCTGACAGATCAACATATTTTTCTGCGCTTGTTGTGCCTTGCAACACATTCTTCATATGGTCTTTACATTTTCTGCTTGTTTATGTAGCTTAAACATAATCACAAGCCCTCTGAATCTCACGTTGTCCTCTTCTCAAATTCCGCTCCTCTGCTGCAAATCTGGGCCTGTGCCACCATCTTTTCTGTCATCAGGAGCCAGCGCTCTCTTCCTAGTTCTTGCAGCCAGCCTCTAATGATGCATAGCCAGATCTCATGCATGCACAGATGGAGATTTGGCATTGTGTCATTCTGTTTATGGCTGCAAGAACCAGGTGTTTTGTTAACAATGGAAAATACGGCCTCCTAGAATATTTGGTGTAGGTATCCCTGGAGGCAGCAGGAGGGGAGTAAAGTAAACATAGCTCTTGCCTAGGCAGGGGGCGCTGCTCAAGTGTTCCACAAGATATTTGTGTAAAAAAAAAGCAAAACGCATCCTGTAAATCAGTTTAGAGATGTACAGCGTATGTTTTGTTTTTCTGCCCTGACATAAGCGCCTGTTATTTGTTCTACTCAGGATTACTTTCCAGAAGTTGTAATATCCCCTCTAGAGGACACATTGGACTCTCCAGTTCATATTCATACAGAAGTTCCATCCTTGGAGTATCTGGTGGACAAGCGCCCCCGATCATTAACAGTGAATTCAGGAGTGTGAGTATGGTTTGGTACAACTGGATTTTTTCATGTTCATGAAATTAGAATTACTCATTTTATAATAAGGTTTAGCACCCAGTTTAATAATAATTCTAGACTATATATGTAAGGAGAGCCACATTTAAGTTACTGGAGGCTTAGGCACATGAACCTAAGTGCCCTGAGCCTGTCCCCTCCCCAGGCTACGCCTGTTTCACAAATACATTTTTCTGCTCACAGTTTTTGCTACAGGGCAGAACTTTGTGTTATTTGTGTGACAAGTCTCTACAAGTTTGTTTCATCAACTGATCAACTTTGTCTTTTTGTCATACCTCTTTGTCTATTTCCGATAGGTGGGTGCAGGCGATTTGTGACTTGTAATAGATCTGCTCCTGAATTTGATGTTTTTTGTTTCTCTGGGTTTTATGTTTTGTAGCACCAGTTTGATGCAGCCATCAGTAGATTCCTTCATTCACCAACAGCAAAACACAAGTTGCTTTCTTTCCATTTGTAATAAAATAAGGGAAACCTGTCAGGAGAAAAATATAGGCTACAACTGCCATTCTCGCCTTCTGAAAATGCTAATTGTCTGACTGTCATGCCAATGCATTGGCTTTAACTGACCAATAATGTGTAGAAATACAACCATTTTTATTAATTTTATCTAACACTAATGTAATGTGTGCTTGTTCCAAGTGTGTAAGATACAGTCCAGCAACTGCCACTTTCAAAAGGAGGTCAGCATTGTCAGCCTTGATATTTCCTTACACTGACCCTAGTACCTAAACAGACACTGTCACCTTGCCCACTTAGGGCAAAGAGACCGTGTATTCTCCCATGCTGCTCCTTCCTCAGTTGTAGCCACATTAAAATCCTTATAAAGTCAAAATTCTTGATTTTCATACTTGCCAGATTAATGCTTCAGAGAGTATGGAAGGCACTGGGCCAATATGACAGCCAGGCAACTAATATTTTTAGAGAGAGAGCTCAGCAGTAGCAGTCTACATTAAAGCAGCATCAAACCCAAAAACAAAAATGGAATATGTTGCAGCTTACCAATTCTTCGATGTGGTGGCTGCATTATTTTTTTTTAGGCTTTTTCCCTTTATTTTCACCTGGTGATCCGACCAGTAACACACTGCCTGTCTTAGGGTGTCTCCACTCTGGACGAATGAGCAATGTAGATGCCCTTGGATATTGTCAATGGGGGGGGAGGGTAGTGTTAGATGTACCTGGCTAACACATTAAAGCTGAACAACTGAAAAGCTGAATACTTTTTAAAGTGATATTAAATGAAACTACAAAAAAAAAAACATACTATACTTAGCTTCTCTGTGCAGTGGTTTTGCACAGAGCATCCCTGACCCCCCTCTTGTCGGGTACCCTGCCAGCACTTCTGGCTCCTCCCGCTCAGTGCCCCCAGAGCAAGCAGCTTGCTATTGGGGGCACCCAAGCAGGCTCGCTCCCAAACCGCTGGTCTGCACGTCCAATTACACACAGAGCTGCTGCTCGGCTCCTCCGTCTCTCTCTCTATTGGCTCACTGGCTGTGATTGACTGCATTCTCAGTCAATAAGGAGGGAGAGTCCTTGGAGAGCTGAGGTTCTCATGCACATCACTAGATCGTGATGCAACTCAGGTAAATATTAGGGGGAGCAGGGGGAGACGTCTGTACACTGACGGTTTTTTACCTCCATGCTTAGAATACATGAAGGTAAAAAAAAACTTGCGTTTTTACAACCAGTTACAGTAACAGTTTGTTTTCCTTTTGCATTAATAAACAAAAGCTAATCATTGTAAGCACCTCTGTCAGTGTTAAATGGTTTGCCCCAACCCTCTTAACTGCCATTTTTGCTGTACAGCTTGGTCTGTTATTAGATGGTGAAATTTAAGACTTACTGCCCAGATTACCAGGTGTAAGTAATGAAACAAAAAAAACCCATAGAAAAGAAACTAATACAGCCACCACTGCTAAGAATTGGTAAGCTGCATATATAACATTTTTGTTTTGGGGGTAATACTGCTTTAAGTACAGGTTTCCTTTAAAAGTGAAGAACATAAAATAAGAATACAAATTGAGTTTTTGCCAGTAGCAACAAATCACTTTTCACCTTTTATTTTAAATCTCATCATGGTCTTCTCACAGCTGGCTGACATATACCGAGCCTCAGTATAACGGTACGGTGTCCGTGTTGGAGGAAGGCTGCGATCTGCCTCAAATCCAGGCATGTGGAGTAAAATCAATGCGCCCTTTGAAAATGGTAAGAAACCGCTTAATGTCTTTCTGATGGTATGATGGTACATGTATGAAAAGTGTAGGTAGTGCTTTTCTACTGCAGGATAGGAAATGCTGAAAACAATCTGATGAAATTTGATGAATTGGAATTGTCCATAGCAACTAGTGTAGTTTTTGCTTCTAAATAAAACTCATCTTTTCATAGATTCTATAAACCTATCCCATTTCTTAATTTATTTTTGTGATGACAATTTCCCTACCTCTCATTAGCGTGGAAAATGTATTAAAAGTAGTTGTAACTCAGAGATTGCTTTCCTGTAGTCTTCTGTGGCTGGCGGTGATTGCACTCTGTGACTTCAGTATTCAAAGCCTAATTGTGTGGAAGGAACAAATGTCTGCTTAATTCTTTTCCCTTCATTTCAGGGCGGATTAAAAGTGCAGCTACCAAATGATCCGAAGGTAAGTGATTGAATTGCTATGGCAACAACTTTGAATACATAATTCTACAGTGTGTCCTTTTGTATGTCAGAAATATTCTTAAATTATGAACGTTTTTACAGATAATTATATATGAAAAGCCACATTTTAAAGGGTGGTCAAGAGAGATCACAGAACATGTCAGCAGCATCGGGAAGCTTATTAGTGACGAAGACAATACTGATCCCCTGGATGTTGGATCCATTCAAGTTGTTGGTGGAATGTAAGCGCTTCTTTGAAAACTTTTAGTAGAATTTTAAAAGTTTCACAATTTCAGGTTTGTAATGGAAGCGAGAAAAAACTTACTGACAATTAATGTAAATTGAAAGTCTCTATTTACTGTACACAACACTGTGAATCAGTTGTTTTCTGAGCTGGGAGGCTTTTAGCACCAAATTGTTGGCATGACTGCTCCCTACTTCCATCTATACTGACTTCCTGACAAGCATGGATTAGCAAGGTAAAAGTGTATCTAAACTCAAGAACACAAATATTATACTGCAGCTTACCAGTCCTTGGCTGCATTAGTTTTCTTTCCTTTACTTACTGGGTTTTTCTTTTATATTCTTCTGGTTTTCCTTCTGGTAACACGCTTCCTGGTTTCTGGTGTCAGTGCTTACTCATTGTACTGTATCTATACAAGAGCAGGGTTGTCAGCTTGGGACAGGAACTGTCTTCTTCCCCTTTTTTCCATAACATAAGAGGGAGGTGTTCTGTAGGCCACATAGAGAACTAAGAGCAATCCTAACTGATAGCTGTGCAGCACAGAACACAGGAAGTTATCAGCTCAAACAAATTTGGGAGTTAATATTTTTACTTATTGAACAGATATAACGAAACACTTTCAATGCTATCTTTAACGTGGAATTCCAGCCTAACACTAACTATGCTTAAAATGTTCCCTCCCCCCTCCTGCTGCCTATCCCGTCTTCTCTGGGTTAAAAAGATCTGTATAGTTACTTTCTATAGTCTGCTCCAGTCCATTCGTGTGATCCCGAAGCTCCGACTGTTAGACAGTGCTTGACAATGGCTGGGAATTCCTGGAGCCGAATCGTCACTCATAGGCTCCCATGTTCCGTCTATTGTCACCGCTCCCTCCATTCCCCTGCAGCAGCTGCTCACTGGCACAGAGAAGTTGGAGCTGTGGGGTCACGTGACCAAACTGGAGCGGACTAAAAAAGGGTAAGTTTAGGACCGGAGCAGACTGAAAAAGGTAAGTATATGACTGGAGAGAACTTAAAAAAAGAAAGTATAAGGACCTGTATTACACAGGTAAAGCAGAATTGGTAGTGGGGATTGGAAAGAGGGGGCGCACTTTTATGCATAGTTAGTGTTAGGATGGAATTCCACTGTAACAGACCAAAAGGGAGGAGATAAGTTCATTGTTAAGGTTTACATACACTTTAAGTGGTTGATGTTTAAGTGACTTTGTAATATAAACATGCTAAAGACCTGAATTTACTTCCGTGGGGCTTTTGCCTTCAGAACCAGTGTCCATGCTTCTCTTAAGAAGATCCAGCTGGATAGGGCTTAAAGTGGAACTGAATTGCATTTGAGCACCATAAAACCAAAAATGCTATTTAATTAATTGTTAATATTTAAAGCAAACTCGCCCATGCATTCATGTCTCCATACTTTATTTTGCTGAGAATTCATTTTAAAAAGCACCCCTTGGTATTTCTGGCAGAAATACCAAGTAAGGGCAGATGATTCATGTAGTGGTTACTTCCTGGAATCAATCAGCCCATAGCTTAGGCATTGGCTGAACTGAGAAACCCCCCCCCCCCCCCCCCCCTGAAGACTCCTGGAATATATGACATCATTTGCCTAGGCATGGAAACCAGGAAGAAACTGAAGAAATGTAAAAAAAAAAAGTTTAAAACAATTAAATATTATATACTTTCCTGTCATTCACTAATGCTATCAGCATAAGGATTAAAATTAGTCAATGTTGATTGACAAAGTGAAGTTCCACTTTAAGCACTATATTGAGCCGCAGATGAAAGAACCCTTTAAGTAAGCAGTTGAGGCAAGAGATGGTAGGTTACTTAAGGTTTTGGGTGGTTGGCAAACAGGGTATGCATACTTTGTGCGACATTATAGTAACACATTAAAAATGAGGCCTTTAGCTTTGTCTTTGCTTTATTTGTCCTTTTTGTGTTTACTGTCATTTTACAGCACAAGCTAGTGTTTTTCCTCTATTCATTTGCTATGAATTTTATATACGCCTTTAATGTGCAACTTATGCAAACAGATAAATACACTGTTAATAAGTACATTAAAGCTGTGTTAACTATTTTATGTGAAAAAGAATTTACACATCCCTGTGAACTTATAGTTAGGAAGAGATTGCCACTATTTCTTAGTTCATCTTTCTTTGTCACCTGCCTGTATAGTGGACAGTGAGTCAGCTGTGTGATGGTGCTGATTCATTGTCCAATAGGCTGGCGGGGTAAGGAGATGCTGCAAAGGAGATGTGTTATCACCTTTCTGACTGTGCAGTGTGGTAGATGTCTTGGAAGTACAAGACTGGTTGACCGGGATTGTAGTTCCTTTGGAACATTTTAAAGCTGCACACCAGGATAAGCAAATGTCTGTATACAAGAGTCATGTATTCGTATGTGAATCTTGGTTAGCTTTGTATATTGTTTCAAAATTTGTGCAGAAATGCAGTGCAGTGTAATAAAGAAAAGTCACTACACCTCTCTCTCCTTGTGCAGGGTGACTGGTCTTATAATCACCTCCTGTAGTTTTATCCATTTCACATGGAGACCCTGCTGTTAACACCCTTCCTGTCTTAGGCTGGCCACACATTATACAGTTTTCTTGTACAATTTTCCTTTAGAATTACCAAATCCATATAATATGATGTCAAACACTTTCAATTTGTGCAGTTCAGGTCCTTGCACTGCATAGTTGAAGGTAAATCTAAAGGAAATTGAATAAGAAAATTGTATAATGTATGGCCGACTTAAGGGTGTCTCCGCCATGGATGAAGTAGTGAAGCAGACACCTTTGGACAGCAGCATTGTCTGAGGAGAGGGCAGTGGTAGACTAGCAGCTTTAGATGGGCATGACTAACAATTTAAAGGTGAACTCCAGCTAACACTCTTTGAGCAGTTAGAGTTACATTTTTTTTTCTTTTGAGATAGAAGTTTACATAAATAAATAAAAGCTGATCATTGTAAATAAATAAAAGCTGATCATTGTAAGAACCCCTGTCAGTGGTAAACGGTGTGTCCCAACCCTTTAATTGCTATTTTGTTGGACAGCTTGGTCTGTTAAAGCGGTAGTAAACCACAGGAAAAAAAAAAAAAAAGTCAAGGTGCAAGGTAATGTCATAATGTCACAATGTGCTAGTATGCTTCGCATATTAGCACATTATGTAAAACTTACCTTAAAAAAGCCCTCCAGCGGCGCACTGTCACCGCTGCAGGGGCTTCCATCTTCATCCAATCTTCCTTCCTGGTTTGCGAGCTCCAGCCGTCTGACAGGCTGGGCCACGATGATGCCACTCCCGTGCATGTGTGCTGGAGTCCCGGGCACAGTACTCTGAAGGAACTGATATGCCGTTCCTTCAGAGCACATGCATGGCCTCTAAAAAAGAGGGAAAATCTCCTAAACGGTGCATGTTTAGGAAATATTAATTTTACCTACAGGTAAGCTTTATTACCGCATTTTAAAGGAAGTTGACTGCATCATCAGGTGACAATAAAGGAAAAAAAGAATAAAAAAAGAAAAACGAATGCAAGCCACCACATTTAAGAATTAACAGGCTGCAATGTAATCTATTTTTGTTTTGGGGTTTAATACTTGTTTTAAATGGGGTTTTTTTTGGTGGATTTATATCTGTATTGCGTATTATATTTACATTAGTACAGTATTAATGCGTATTTGGTCCCACTTGGCATCCATATTAATAAGTAATGCTCATGTTTCTTTTGGCTCCATTTATATATCATATTACAGATCTTTCGTTGCTGTCTGTTGTGTGGCTGTAAAAAATGATTGCATACAGCAGTAACACAGTCCTAAACAGAAAAGAGAATGATATTTTTAGAAGGGCCAAAGTATCTGGAAATCCTATAAAAACCAGATTTTGCAAAGTGTTAGGCTAGGTTATCAGTGCTGTGATCCGATTTTGATACAACTTTCAGTGCAATAATGTTGTGCAACCTGGATGCTTCTTTGATGCTACTTTGAAGGGGTTTGCATATTCTGTGGGGCCAAAATCATGTTGGAATAGCACCAAAGTAGTAAAGGATTCTTTTCCAAAATCATGCCATGCTAAGTGGCATTGATGTGAACACATTGAAAACAATGTGAGTTCCATTGTCTTACAATTCTGTGAGACTCAAGTTGCATCTGAAATCACACTAGTTTGAATGGAGCCTAAGGCTGGCCATACATTATACAATTATCTGCAGATTTTCTGCCCAATTTCCTTTAGATTTACCTTCAACTATGTAGTGCAAGGGCCTGCCTAATTGGATACAACTGAAAGTGTTGTTTAGGTTTGTCCTCCTATTATATGGTTTTTGGTAAATCTAAACCAAAAATCTGCAGATAATTTTTTTAATGTATGGCTAGCCTAAGTATGAGTAAAATATATTTACAGACAGCAGGTGATTAACATTTTCTTATAGAATAAAATAATTATACATGCTTATTTAAACATTTTCTTACTTGAACTTTCATGTTGTTTAGGTGGGTTGGCTATGAAAAAGAACGATACAAAGGGTACCAGTATCTCTTGGAAGAGGGCGAGTATGAGGACTGCCAAGCTTGGGGCGGATACAGTAGTACATTGCAGTCTATTCGGTATCTGCAGGCTGTAAGTACTCCTTATCACCATATTATGGAGCAATGTGCTTACCAGTGAAGTGTCCATAATGAATTAGGATTTACACTACAGGAGTTGTAATTTGGTTGGGTTCTCTACTTAAATCTAACACTCTGGATGTTTTTTCTCTCCATGCGAGAACGTAAATGACATAACTCCCAATTAATGTTTTACAGTGAATTGTAGAGTGGCTACATAGAGAGGCACAGATAGCTTGGAAAGTCACATTATCATCATCAAATAATCTATTTTATCAGCTAAGTTCATATCTGAGAATTTAGTTCTGGTGTTCAGTGTGCCTTTAAGTAAAAGTTAACACAGAAAATCTTGATGTCCTACTGACATACCAACTCCCAGATCTGGCATAATGTTTAACAGCCCTTAGTTTTCATGAGTCATTAATGAGGCCAAATTATACCTGGTACGTATAGAGGAAGATATTATAAGTTTAACAGCCAGAAAAAGTGAGTCTGATAATAGCTAGTTTAGTACTAATAAAGGTAGATAATAAAGGTAAGATTTTACGAGGGTTACCTTATTATAGCAAATGATTATCTCCACTAGAAATATTAAAATAACCTACTACCCATGGTCAGGATCTATAAAATACTGTGTATGTGTGTTTATACACACACACAGACTTCACTGTAATAATGACATATTGATTCAGGACATTAAAGCACAATTCCAAGCGCAGTGATTTTTATATTTTGAAATTCTTTACTATTATATATAAAACTCCTCTTTGCACAGTAATAAATATCTTAATGAATTAATTTGTATAATCCCAGCATACATCAGTATTTGCACTGTATTACAGACACTAGTTCCGGTGTCGTACCCCCATCCTACCTCTGCATAAAACAAAGCTGCAGCATCATCACACTTTGTGAATGGATAAGCAGAGGTAGGGCAGAAACACAATACCTGAAATGGAGTCTGTAATACAGTATGGCTGCCACTGTATAGCATGACTGCTGCTGTATGTTGGACGTGTAAACACTTATTTCAGCAAGACATTATTGTTGTTGGGGTTTTGCAAAATAGCAAAGGTTTAAAGCCTAACTCCTGCCAGAAGGACCTCAGCAGGTTTAGATAAATAACCTTGCCCTCACCTTAGCTGCAAACCTCCATTCATGCAGGCTTTCTTCAGTGTCTTACAACTAATATGTTTACATGTCCGATTAGTACAGCTTCCACTGTACACCCGGGCCATTGTGGATGTAAGTGCTGCAGGTCTCATAGATTGCTGCACTTCTGCTATGTCAGCTCCCCCTCTTCTTCTGGCCTATCACAAAATGAAGCCTAAGGCCATTTGCTTTGTGAATGGCCAGATGGAGGGGAGGTCAGAGACACAATCACAATGCTGGGGTCTGTGAGACCTGCAGTGGCCCAAAAGTATGGGGGGAGCTGAAATCAGAGCTCTCTTAGTGTGCTAGTCATGATCTAGATGAGTTTTTTAACTGCATTTTTGTAGTATGTGTGTGTGTGTGTGTGTATATATATATATATATATATATATATATATATATATATATAGTTCTAAAGGTATCCACGGCACTCTGTGTTTGAGATAAATGCCCAGGTGCTCACTCACAAAGAAATCCATATAAATCCAAAACTGGTTTAGAGGAACTCACGGGTCTTTCAGAGGAGGAATATCAAAAACAGCAGTGTTTTTATTGTCAACATTTCGATGAAGCTCAGTCCATCTTTCTGAAGACGTCCTGAGAAAGATGGACTGAGCTTCATCGAAATGTTGACAATAAAAACACTGCTGTTTTTGATCTTCCTCGCCTGCAAGACCCACGAGTGCCTCTAAACTAGTTTTGTGTGTGTATATATATATACACACACATACACTATATCGCCAAAAGTATTGGGATGCCTGGCTTTACACTCATATGAACTTTACTAGCATCCCAGTCTTAGTCCGTAGGGTTCAATATTGAGTTGGCCCGCCCTTTGCAGCTATAACAGCTTCAACTCTTCTGGGAAGGCTGTTTACAAGGTTTAGGAGGGTGTCTACGGGACTGTTTGACCATTCTTCCAGAAGCTCATTTGTGAGGTCAGGCACTGATGTCAGATGAGAAGGCCTGGCTCGCAGTCTCCGCTCTAATTCATCATCTATTGAGTTCAGGCCAGGACTCTGTGCAGGCCAGTCAAGTTCCTTCACCCCAAAGTTGCTCATCCATGTCTTTATGGACCTTGCTTTGCGCATGGGTGTGCAGTCATGTTGGAACAGGAAGGGGCCATCCCCAAACTGTTCCCACGAAGTTGGGAGCATGAAATTGGCCAAAATGTCTTGGTATGCTGACGCCTTAAGTCTTCCCTTCACAGGAACTAAGAGGCCAAGCTCAACCCCTGAAAAACAACCCCACACCATAATCCCCCCTCTACCACTTGGCACAATGCAGTCAGGCAAGTACTATTCTTCTGGCAACTGCCAATTTCAGACATGTCCATCGGATTGCTGGACAGAGAAGCGTTATTCCTCACTCCAGAGAACACGTCTCTACTGCTCTAGAGTCCAGTGGCGGCGTGCTTTACACCACTGCATCCACCGCTTTGCATTGCACTTGGTGATGTAAGGCTTGGATGCAGCTGCTTTGCATGGAAACCCATTCTATGAAGCTCTGCAGACAGCTGGCGACTTCTGTTTACTATGCGGTTCAGCATGCGCTGACCCAGCTCTGTCATTTTACGTGGCCTACCACTTTGTGGCTGAGTCGCGGTTGTTTCCAGTTGCTTCCACTTTATTATAATACCACAAACAGTTGACCGTGGAATATTTAGTAGTAAGGAAATTTCATGGATGGACTTATTGCACAGGTGGCAACCTATCATGGTACCACGCATGAATTCACTGAGCTCCTGAGAACGACCCATTCTTTCACAAATGTTTGTAGAAGCAGTCTGCATGCCTAGATGCTTGATTTTATACACCCGTGGCCATGGAGGTGATTGGAACACCTGATTCCAATGATTTGGAGGGGGTGTCCCAATACTTTTGGCAATATAGTGTATATATATAAACCTATGGCCCAAAGATGCAAAAACTAAAGCAGGATCAACAATGTGTCCACATACATTAATAAAAAAAAAGGATGCATGCTAAGACTAAAAACATCTTTTAATGAGCCTTCCATTGTTGCAAAGACACGGAATAAAGAAAACAATTCTTGAATCAGGTTAAAAAAGGAATGGCATGCTATACAAAATGATTCTTTAATCAGGCTTAAATCCAAAGCTCCTGGATCTGCTGACAGGTACTACCCCTTGGTAAAATATTGCATTGCTCAAGAGAGAAAGGTTTAGCTAGATATTAAAATGAAAACAAAAATTCAGACATTCATTGATTTACTGTAATAGGGAATAATATGAGTATGTAGAAAAAAGGACCGTTGCACACTGATATTGTCACCTTTAAAAGGCTTTATTGAAAGCTGAACATGGACACAGCAGACATGACAGTCTCACCTGTAGACTACCCTCTTGCAAGAGGAAGGCAGTCTATGGGCAGTACTGTCATGTCTGCTGTGTCCATGTTCAGCTCTGAATAAAGATTGTTAAATGTGATGTTAATGGTGTGCCACCATCCTTTTTTACAGACGCATATGAATGTAGTGGAGTCTTTTTGGCCTGCTCCTGAACTTTGTGAAGCGGCACAAACAAGACTGTGAAGCAGCTGAAATTTATTGATATACATAAGTGAATAAAATGCTATTAGATTTCCATATTCCATAAATCCATACCCTGGATTTGGACTACACACATAAAATGCATCAGTATTTATATTTAAACATGTTTTTATAATAATAGATGTATTTCTTTTCATAAATGTTTATAAAATTATTAGAGTAGTTTAGGTTTTATTTTGAAGCAGCTCACTTGGTTATAGTTTAACTCTGAAAACGCAGACAAGTTCGTTTTCGGTAAAGGGTGTCTACTGCATAACGGCCCTTGTGCATTCCTTTCGGATTAATCAGTGTTCAGTTGTGCCAATTAAGAACCACACAGAACTGGCGACATTGTGTTTCCAGTTTCACCTGGTTGACAAACAGATAAACCTGGGTCAACAATGCTTTGGGTGCACTGAATACATTACAGGACAGGCATGGCAGTATTACAGGTACCAGCGAAAATACAAGCAATATAAAAAAAAAAGCAAATGTACAGTATATACTTCTTTCATTTTTTTTTTCCTGCTTTTGGTGACAGAACAAAAATATCTCTGTGCAGTGAGGGAACGTTTCCATGCAGTACTGATACACACATACTTAGCCAGTAAGGGAGATCTCTTTCCTACTACTTTGTTTAGAATTACTATTTCTTAATAACCTAAACCAGGTAGTAACGTCCTGCTCAGTGAACAGAGGTGATGATGTTGAATCACTGACCAGTGAGGAGGCTGAAGGCAGAGAGATAACAAAGATCTGGAAGATACATTTCTTAATCAGGAACTCCGAATGTCCATCATTAGGTTGTGCATTGTGAAAAATGAGTGTAACCAGCTGCACAGAAGTATTAAAGGATAAGTTCACCTTTCCTAACATGTTACATGTTATACCCGTATTCAGGGTGTAACATGTTACAGTTGCATCTGCCCCTGCGCCAAACCCCAGCCCCCCGCGCCCCCAAGTCCCCTGCTGTGACAGTAGACCGGGGAGCTTCTCCTTGTGTCTGTTGCCACAATTCAAAAAAAGTATTCTGTGCATGGGAAACTATAACTACAGGCAGCTTTTGCAGCTGTCGGGTCGTAGTTCTCAATTAATTACCACGGCGCTGTTGAGTGCTGTGGTAGTTTGTTCGGCTTCCTGTCAGTGTGTGACTGTCTGCTGGTATGAGGTATGAATAGTCAGCTTACACACAGAGTACAAGAGGCCTGCATAGCACCCACAATCTGCTGATTGTGGGTGCAATGCTTTCCAGGCTCCCAATAAAAAAATAATAAAAGCACTTTTTTAACCTGCAAAAAAGTGCATTACTTTTTAAAAATTTTTTTTTAAAGGTGAACTTATCCTTTAAGATTTTTTCAGGTAAAACTGTAACCATATATGCATTTTAGCTGTGTATATGGCTGGTTTTCACTTTGAATAAAATATGTGGTATGCTCACTTACTTAGATAGGAGGCTGTCAGTTAAAGTGACACTCTTCCGTGGCCATGCTGAATACTAATTTGTGGGAGGCATGTCAGTCAGAGTGAAGCTGAACAATTGATTCACTGGCCTGGCTGGGGTCAGAAGAACTAGTATGTAGCAGCAATCAGAGAATGACCACTTCCACTGGACACTTTAGGGCCCAGTAAGCATTGAGAGGAAAGTTTACCTTTAAAATGATGGTAAATGTGTTCTAGTTATGTTGTACTGAAAAAATGGTGTTTCTGTTCAGATTTTATTTACACCCAACATTTAGTTACTGGGAAATATTGTTTGCACTTTAGAACTTTTTGGAAGCATCTGTCACTTTGTTGGAGTTGGATTCAGAAGATGAAAAGCATGTGGATCTCTTCAATCAGGCGATCCCAGATCTGGAACTGGCCGGATATAACACCAGACCAAAGTGCATTCATGTGAAAAAAGGAATGTGAGTAGAATTCTGTATAACTAGGTGATATTTTCCTACTGGATCAGCAGGAGAGTTAGTTGTGTCTATTATCTTCCAATATGCCCTGCATTCTCCTCTATGCTGCTAACACTTATCTGTGTCATATCATAACCATGCTGTATTAATAAAAGTACATAAAGGCAATTTCCTCTCTGTAATGGATTATGCCTGGGAAATATTAAGCTCTAAAAAGCAGTGTGTTCATCCATCGCCTTTTACATTGCGTGTAAAGCATCTGAGTTATGGGTTAATGCATTTGCTGTAATCAGGACTTTTACGTGGTCAAGGAACACATTATGTTCCTGCTGCAGTCAGAAAATTCTCAGCTCACTAATAAGTTTCTGTTATCAATGCAGGTTTTATGTACTTTGTGGGTTTTCAGCTTTGCAAACACTAAAGCTCAAGTTTTTTACCAGTACCATTTCTATGCCAGATAAAACGTCAGTGTATGTGTTTACTGGGGCAAAAATCCCCTCCACACACTGGTTGCTTCGAAAGCTTTGTGCACTTTATGCAAACAATTGACATCCAGTGATGTAGCTTGTTTCGTTAACATTTAGCAGCAGCTAATACTACAAGCATGAAAAAATCCTTCCCTGTGCTGACCTCAATTTGTTATCTCAGCGCAAGGGAGGAGGAAAGGTTGTGTCTAACACAAGGCAGAAAGACAGTAGGAAGGTTTTCAGTGCGATTGCAATAGACCTGTGACTAGTGGGGGAAGAAATGAGGGCTTGTGTACAGTATGTAAAGTGCTGTATACATTGTTGGTGCTGTATAACTACCAGTAATAAATAAATCACAGTGTAGACAATGATAGACATACAAATCTGTAACAGGATATGTCCATTCCCTATTGCATCCAGAACAACACAAAACAAGGAGTCCCATTTTAAGTCTAAAATCTAATTTTCCTATATATTCAGTCTTATGAACAGGGAAAGAAATGGGGGGGGGGGGGGGGGCACAAGCCAGCACTTATGTTTCACCTTAAGGATGACTGTAGAATTAGGAAAGGGGTAGGTATTGCAAAATGCTCACTGCTTAATCCATATGTTCCTAATCTCCTTGAGTTTCCATTCTTCTATTCCTTTGGGTTCTGCTGACCACCATTAGATATAGTAAAAAAAAACATACAGTTGCAAGAAAAAGTATGTGAACCCCTTGGGATTACGTGGAGTTTTGCATGAATTGGGCATAAAATGTGCTCTGAACGTCATCTAAGTCACAACAATAGAAGAACACAGTCTGCTGCACATAATACTACACAAACATTAGATGTTGCCATGGTTTAATTGCACATAACATGTAAACATTCACAGTGCAGGGAGGAAAAAGTATGTGAGTCCCTAGCTTAATGACTTCTCCCAGAGCTAATTGGAGCCAGGAGTGAGCCAACCTTGACTCCAATCAGTGTGATGATATTGGATGTGTTGCTGACAGCTGTCCTGCCCTTAAAAAACACACACCTGTTTTGGGTTTATTGGTTTCAAGAAGCACTGTCTGATGTGAACCATGCCTCGCAGAAAAGAGCTCTCAGAAGACCTACGATCAAGAATTGTTGACTTGCATGAAGCTGGAAAGGGTTACAAAAGTATCTCCAAAAGGCTTGATGTTCATGTGTCCACGGTAAGACAGACTGTCTACAAATGGAGAAAGTTTAGCACTGTTGCTACTCTCCCTAGGCGCGGTCGTCCTGTAAAAATGACTGCAAGAGCACAGCGCAGAATGCTGCATGAGGTAAAGAAGAATCCCAGAGTGTCAGCTAAAGACCTACAGAAATCTCTGGCACATGCTAACATTTTTGTTGACACATCTACAATAAGGAAAACATTAAACAAGAATGGAGTACATGGGAGGACACCACGGAGGAAGCCATTGCTGTCCAAAAAGAATATTGCAGCATGTTTGAAGTTTGCAAAAGAGCACCTGGATGTTCCACAGCACTACTGGCAAAATATACTGTGGACAGATGAAACCAAGATTGAGTTGTTTGGGAAGAACACACAACACTGTGTGGTGAAAAAAAGGCACAGCACACCAACATCAAAACCTCATCCCCACTGTAAAACATGGCGGAGGGAGCATCATGGTTTGGGGCTGCTTTGCTGCCTCAGGGCCTAGATGGATTGTTGTCATTGATGGGAAAAATGAATTCCAGAGTTTATCAAGACATTTTGCAGGAAAACGTACGACCATCTGTCCGCCAACTGAAGCTCTGCAGAGGATGGGTGATGCAACAGGACAATGACCCAAAGCATACAAGTAATTCAACAAAACAATGGCTGCAACAGCACAGAATACGCCTTTTGGAGTGGCCCAGTCAGAGTCCTGACCTCAACCCGATTGAAATGCTGTGGCATGACCTTAAGAGAGCGATTCACACCAGACATCCCAAGAATATTGCTACACTGAAACAGTTTTGTGAAGAGGAGTGGTCCAAAATTACTCCAGATCGTTGTGCAGGTCTGATCTGCAACTACAGGAAACGTTTGGTTGAGGTTATTGCTGCCAAAGGAGGGTCAACCAGTTATTAAGTCCAAAGGTTCACATACTTTTTCCTCCCTGCACTGTGAATGTTTACATGTTATGTGTAATTAAACCATGGCAACATCTAATGTTTGTGTAGTATTATGTTCAGCAGACTGTGTTCTTCTATTGTTGTGACTTAGATGACGTTCAGAGCACATTTTATGCCCAATTCATGCAAAACTCCACGTAATCCCAAGGGGTTCACATACTTTTTCTTGCAACTGTATCTTCATTTACTCTTTTGAATTTTTAATGCAGATAAATGGTTGTAAATCTGCAAGCAAATTACACAATATAGCTAGTGCCATTATAGCCGTTATTATCATTATACAGTAGTTCCATTATAACTAAGGTAGGTGGATGTGAGCGCACAGAATAAATAAAAGCAGCTATGCACAAGGTAACCAGGTAAAACCTTAAAATAAGCAGTATAAATGATGGTGTGCAGCGCTAAAATGATCAATAAGGTATATAAGAACTAGCGTATAGACAAATAATCAAAATTAAAATTATAAAATTAAGTATCATAAGACATAAAAGAGTTCATAAGGTGAACTCAATAATCCTGTGACTTCCTGGAGGTGGTGATTGTGCATACAGATATGTAAGGAATGCGCACTCACCAGAACGCGCAAGATAATGTGCATTTTTTGTATTAAATCCTGATATCATCTAATGGGATTACTGAGGACCCATCTACCCTAAGAGGAAGTTTATTGGATCCCTGCCCTACCCTATGATGACCATTAGATGACATCAGGATTTAATACTAAAAACGCACATTATCTTGTGTGTTCTGGTGAGTGCGCATTCCTTACATATCTGTATGCACAATCACCACCTTCAGGAAGTCACAGGATTATTGAGCACCTAAAGTCACCTTATGAACTCTTATGTCTTATGATACTTAATTTTATGATTTTATTTTGATTATTTGTCTATACGCTAGTTTTTATATACCTTATTGATCATTTTAGCGCTGCACACCATCATTTATAGTAGTTCCATTATGGTCTCCGTGTTTTCTTCATGCAAATCCATTTTTTTTAAATTATGATTCAAAGCATCTTATCACACATTTGGAATGAGTAAGAGCTGTGCCTAGCACAAAAAGTATCTGTAGAACTTGTTCCTGTTGGCTATTTTTTTAAAGGAAGAATAATATTTTGCATCTTAGTGTGCAATGTTCCTTTTGCTGGAACATTTGGACTGCACTTTGTTTTTTAAATTTAACTGCACCAGAAATGCACAAGTGTGAACAGGGCCTTATATTACTATGGGCCTCATGTGCAGAAGAAGCGGCTGCTTTTTATTTTCCTAACGATCAGTGAGATTCTCCCTTGTAAAGCAGGTTAGAACATGTAAGGAAGGTACTGCAGGGCTGTTAGGGTGAAAAGGCAGACATTTCATATATGATGACTGATTACATTATAAACAGAAAACTGATATAAAAGTTCACAATACCAATATGTACTGAGTAATTCTGTTTCTTCTATGGGCTGCTAAAGCCTTATAATGCTGGAGATTGCAATTCCCAACTGATGGCAAACTACAGCTTCATGTCGTTAAGCTTTATAGTGTATTTCCCATTAATGATGCTTGGCTAATCAGTGCCCATAAAAACGGAGGTATCTTAATAACAAAACAAGATGTACAGAGAGATAAAACTCAGGCACTGTGAAACAATTAAACAAATGTTTAGTAAACCTGGTACAAATCTCATAATTGACTCACTGTGACGTTTGACAACTCGAAAGCTCTTTTTAAGGTCATGGAAAGGAGCTTTTCCGATCTAGTAGAAACTTTTTTTTTTAGGCTTACCTCTCTGAAACACTGAAAGCTGCATTCTAATTGGCTGCTGCAGGTTGCCATACTTTTAAAGAGCAGCTCCGGGAAACAAACAAAGCCAGTCAAGATATTGACAGTGTTGCAATTGTACCTATGTATAATGTGACTGCAATCAGGACTGCAGCCTCTTATCACATCAGTCTTTGTTGTGCTGCCCCATCTTTCTCCTACTCCATTATATTATGGTGAGGCTGTGTTGGCACAATGGCAGGGTGGTGTATCAACCAGAAAAAACTCTGTGTGGATCAGATTTGAAGACATAAAAAAGATGAGATTTAACAAGCAAGGCAAGCATCTGCAAGAGATGAATATGGGAAGAAAGAAAATCGTTTATCAAAATACTGTCTTCCAAATCAGTTGAAATACAAAAATGTCATGTCTGACTAGAATGTAGCTATAGACAAAGCAGTTTAGACTTTCCCAAGAACAACCATCAATGTTATCATTAAAGGGAAAGTTTTGTGTCTTTTCAGGCCTCTTTCACACAGGCAGGAAAAAAAGTTGACTGAGCTACGGTTTTACCACCTCCTGACCTCCCACCTAAAGCCTTTAGTATAGCCAGAGGTGCTTTCCATAAACCAATGCTGCAGTGCTTTGTATTGTGGCAAATTTAATGTGGCTTGTTGACTGGCGGTACTGCCTATCAAATGTGGCCATTAAAGTCAATGGAGCTGTGTCGGAACCCAAATACTCGGCATGCAGTTCTGGTGCATTAGTCTCATATAAAATTTTGCCCGGGCAAAAAAAAAAAGGCATTTAGGAGGCGGCAGTATTGCTCCTCCTGAGCACCTGCCAGCGGATGCTTAGCTGCACTATGAAAGTGGGGAGCACTTAGTGACGCATTGCTCTTTGTCTGTCTTAACAGGTGTTGAGATAATATTAACCACATAGGGAGTTCATAGTGTTCAGCAGAGATGATTTAATAAGAGTAGAGAATCACTGAATGAATGATGTGAAGATTCACTTCGGTTATCCAGTCATGTGCAGATGAAAAAAAAATGAACGGGAACTTGCTTTTTACATGAATTATTAATTTAAAGTCAATCATACAATATATTGAGTCAAATACTTAGGGCTAAACTTATTAAAAGTGAAAACTCTGCATGTAGAAAAGTAAATATTCACATTGGAAAGTGAATGTTCACTTAGATTTAGTGGATATGATGAAGCAATGTTCACTTTTTATGCCCAGTCATGTGTGACGGAAAATTTAAGCGCTTACAATAGCTGATCACCCATACTCTTCTGTAGGGGAATCTGACAATGGCCTAGATTTCGCTTATCATCCCCCTGTCAGAACACAATATCTCCGTGGAGAGATTGCTGGACTAACATCGCATAGTTAGTACAGCGAGCTCCTCAGTTTTTTTTTCACTCAGCCTGCTGGGTTGAACGAAAAAAACTGTCTGTGTGTACCAGGCTATAGAAGAGCATTCCAAGCCTGGTACACACAGGTAGTTTTTTTCATTTAACCTAGCTGGCTGAACAAAAAAAAAACTGAGGAGCTCACTGTACTAACTATGCGATGTTAGTACAGCGATCTCCCTGCTGAGCTATTGTGTTCTGACAGGGGGACTGAACCTTCCCCCCCAGAACACACTGGCCAGTGCTCGCAGCCTTTGGCTACAAGCGTTGATCAGATGCTGATCAGCTTCTGGTTTCCAGCATCCACATTCAACAGAAGCCGGACAGGCCGCTGTACACACTGGCCAAATGTTGACGATTTCTGTTGAACCGGCCGGTATTCGGCCCATGTGTCCTTTCCTTAAGTGATACCATGACAAGGGCTTGCAGTCTGACCAGAGGCTGTACAAATAGGATGGGCATTAGTGATGAGTCTGAATGGATTTACCAAACTTCCTCCACACAGGAGCCTCCTGCTGTTTTTTCTTCTTTCAGAATTCTTACACTGTACAGAATAAAATAAACTGTCACTCATCCCATCTCTTTTATTAGGTGGGTGGCATATCAGCAGAAACATTACTGTGGTGAGCAGTATATGCTGGAAAAAGGACGATACAAGAGCCATGTGGACTGGGGAGGAAGCAGCAATACAATCATGTCCATCCGGCCAGTTTTGTTGGTATGTTGTTGCTATGTTTTTTGGTACTCAATGCAAAAATTATTATACATACATATTTTTTGTACCTATGAACAGAGTTAAAGTTTTAATGATTTGTTAAGTGAATTATTTAAAGGAATGCTCTGCCTAATTAAAGGCATTGTACACTTTCAAATGTTTTTGCTTTTTTAAGTAGGTGTTAGTGTAGATATATTCCCTGTGTGTTGTGCTGTTTGCCTTACTTTGTAATGATGGGGTCAGTTGTGGCTGCAGTTTGTTGTGTCATGACTGATCAATTCCCCTATGTCAGGGGTGGGCAACTGTAGCCCTCCAGCTGTTGGTGAACTACAAGTCCCATCATGCCTCTGCCTTTGGGAGTCATGCTTGTAACTGTAAGTTTTGCAATGCCTCATGGGACTTGTAGTTCTACAACAGCTGGAGGGCCACAGTTGCCCACCCCTGCCCTATGTCCACATATTGCTTCAGATAGCTAATCCCTCTGCACCAACAGAACAGGATAACTTCCTGTTCTGGGTCACACAGCATGAAATGCATGCCATGCCATCTGCTCTGCATGGCATCACAAATATGGGAGTTCTGATGTAATTAAAAAAACGTCTTCCTGCTGCTCGGTGAGCATTCTGTGTAACTGTAAATGCTGTACTTGCTTGTGTCTGTGTCAGATGTGATTACTTTGTAGCTTTCACCTGCATGAGCACTAGACTGAGAGACCCAGGGATTGTGGGATATATAGTTTCTTTATAGGAAGTGTCAGCTCTACAGACAAAGGTCATGCATTAATCTGTGCAGTGCCGTGCCAAATACCTCTATGTTTCCACACAAACAAAAACTGCTGACACCAGAATGTGAAAGTTTACTCTGCTATAGGCTGTGCGTTCAGGGCAACAAATGACTCCATGAAACTACATAACCAATTCAAATCTAATGTAGGAGAAGGTAGAAATGTTTTCAATGACTTTAATAAAGGATTACCTACATAATTTTAATATTTGTTTGTTAATAGCTGAAAACTTAAATTAATTGAATAAATCATGGAGAAAACTATTTAAAACTCCAATTAGGTTTTGTGCATTGGCATTATTGCACAAAGATTACATGTAGTGGTATAGCTGTGTTTTATGTTGAAATGTAATGTCACATTAAGTAATGGATCTAGTCAGTAAAATATATTTAAAACACATTGTTACAGTGAAAACTCTCGCTGGACACTTGTACCTACAGGGAAGTGTATAATAAAGCTTGCCTGTAGGTACAAGGAATATCTCCTAAAAATGCACTGCCGGTGACTGCAACCAGCGCATGTACTCTGAAGGAACGGCAAACCTATGCCATTCCTTCAGAGCTCTGTGGCACGGCCGAGTCTCTTGCACATAGTCTCTTGCACATAGGTGCCATCATCACGGCTTGACCAGTCAAGCAGCCAGAGCCCACAAACCTGGAAGGATGACCTGGTGAAAATGGAAGCCTTGTCAGCAGTGACAGCACGCCACTGGAGGGCTTTGTTTTAAGGTCAGTCTTTTATAATGTGCTAGTATGCGGTGCATGTTAGCACATTAGAACATTACATTACCTTTTTTAAGTCAACTTTACTACCACTTTAAAGCATTTGTGGACTCCTGGCTGTTTTACTATATTCCCCTGTGATTTTACTGGTGGTTGTATTGTGTATGTTGCATCAGTAAACGTGACTTTTTCTTGGTTGGCGTTCATTGTGTGTGTTTACTGGGAAGGAGGAGAGTGGATCATTTTCTCACTAGAGATAACTAGAGCTGTCCATGGTTCTGCAGTACATGTTTACTATAGAGGATTATTGGGAGTGGTGCAGCTAAAATGTTTTAGCAGGTTTGTACTTTTGTGGGTCAGTCATAGAGGTGATCATTTTTTAATTAAATGTGATACATTTTTCTTTAAAGCTATGATACATCTTACAGCAGTAAGAGGAAGGGTAATGGAAAGTGTGAAACCATGATAGCTCAGTAGTTTTATCATACTGATCATACTGCAGAATAATCAGAGCTTTCATGATTTTCTGCTTAGAAAATATACCGACTTATGTTCAATTATTGCTTGCATAGACCAGTTAAATAGCTGTATAGGTAATCAGCTAATCAGTACCATTTTTAGTAGCCCAATCACGTGTCCTCATGATCAGGGCCGTCTTTTATTGCGGGGCAAATGGAGCAGCTGCCCAAGGCCTAGTTATTGTTTTGTGGTCCAAAGCCGCTGCTCCTTGAGCCTGTGCTGTCACAGATTTGAAGAAAGCTGTCCTGCAACAGCCTTGTCCAGACGGATCACGGACAGTACTGTGGGTTCTGTACACTGATCTGGTTGTGTCACATCATGGCAAGCATGACAGGAGCTCAGGTGTGCTGCCTACAAGAAACAGAAGAGATTGCTGGGGAAAAATCCTTCCCCCAGCAGCTGATGTCCAGGCACTCTCATTGGAGAGACTAGGGGAAGGGGTGTGACCAGCTTTGGTGCTGCTGGTGCACATGTAATGCATGGGTGCAGTATGGAGGGGATAGGTGCAGTACAGAGGAGGTGGGTGCAGTACAGAGGAGGTGGGTGCAGTACGAAGGGGGTGGGTGCAGTACGAAGGGGGTGGGTGCAGTACGGAGGAGGTGGGTGCAGTAAGGAGGAAGTGGGTGCAGTACGGAGGAAGTGGGTGCAGTATGGAGGTACTAGGTGCAGTATGGAGGAGGTGGATGCAGTGTGGAGGGGGAGGGTGCAGTACAGAGGAGGTGGGTACAGTACGGAGGAAGTGGGTGCAGTACGGAGGAGGTGAGTGCAGTACAGAGAAAGTGAGTGCAGTACGGAGGAGGTGGGTGCAGTACAGAGGAGGTGGGTGCAGTACGGAGGAGGTGAGTGCAGTACAGAGAAAGTGGGTGCAGTACGGAGGAGGTGGGTGCAGTATGGAGGAAGTGGGTGCAGTATGGAGGAGGTGGATGCAGTAAAGAGGAAGTGGGTGCAGTACGGAGGAAGTGGGTGCAGTACGGAGGAGGTGAGTGCTGTACGGAGAAAGTGGGTGCAGTACGGAGGAGGTGGGTGCAGTACGGAGGAGGTGGGTGCAGTACAGAGGAGGTGGGTGCAGTACGGAGGAGGTGGGTGCAGTACGGAGAAAGTGGGTGCTGTACAGAGGAGGTGGGTGCAGTATGGAGGTACTAGAGGCAGTATGGAGGAGGGGGGTGCAGTATTGAGATACTAGTTGCAGTATAGAGGAGGTGAGTGCAGTACGAAGGTAGATGCAGTACAGAGGAGTTAGGTGCAGTATGAAGGTAGATGCAGTACAGAGGAGTTAGGTGCAGTATGAAGGTGGATGCAGTACAGAGGAAGGTGCAGTATGAAGGTGGATGCAGTATAGAGGAGGTGAGTGCAGTACGAAGGTAGATGCAGTACAGAGGAGTTAGGTGCAGTATGAAGGGTGGATGCAGTACAGAGGAGTTAGGTGCAGTATGAAGGTGGATGCAGTACAGAGGAGTTAGGTGCAGTATGAAGGTGGATGCAGTACAGAGGAGTTAGGTGCAGTATGAAGGGTGGATGCAGTACATAGGAGTTAGGTGCAGTATGAAGGGTGGATGCAGTACAGAGGAGTTAGGTGCAGTATGAAGGGTGGATGCAGTACAGAGGAGTTAGGTGCAGTATGAAGGGTGGATGCAGTACAGAGGAGTTAGGTGCAGTATGAAGGTGGATGCAGTACAGAGGAGTTAGGTGCAGTTAGGTGCAGTATGAAGGTGGATGCAGTACAGAGGAGTTAGGTGCAGTATGAAGGATGCAGTACAGAGGAGTTAGGTGCAGTATGAAGGTGGATGCAGTACAGAGAGTTAGTGCAGTATGAAGGTGGATGCAGTACATGAGTTAGGTGCAGTATGAAGGTGGATGCAGTACAGAGGAGTTAGGTGGATGCAGTACATGAGGTAGTATGCAGTAGATGCAGTACAGAGGAGTTAGGTGCAGTATGAAGGTGGATGCAGTACAGAGGATTTAGGTGCAGTACAACTGATGCACAGTAATCTTTGGCAACCAATCAGTTAGTAGTAATGATGTGTTATAATCTCTAGCAACCAGAGAGTGGTAATGATTTGCTTTAAGCTGCGGCAACCAATCGCAATTGGTGCCTGATCTGCTGCAGTAAACTGATCTTGAGTCTAGCTGCTATTTATTGTATGTCTCAGAGAAGGTGCAAAGTGAAATTGCATGGGGGGTGGGGCCAAAAAAATGTGCTCATGGTGTGAGCTCTATAAGTAGCAGGTATTGGCAGATAATTTGGGGCACTATGCTGGAAATAAACAGTACTGTATACTAACGTGTGTCTCACACTGTAGAGACATTCGTTCCATCTGTGTTCTGACTGTTCATGTTCACGTTATGGTGGCCCTGCACAATACAATCTCTTTTGAATTACCAAAACAACTTCATTTAGGGCATACCTAAACAATACATTCATTTAGTATCAAAACCGGCAGGTCCTTGCACAATGTAGTTGATTGTAGATTATACAGTCAGGTTGTATAGTGTATAGTCAGCTTTAGTAATTTGTTAGCAATTCAGTGATTGAACATATAAAAATCACCTTTTTACCTCTTACAATGCTTGTCAGTTGGCTTGTAACACTTCTAGGCCACCTAACCAATTATGGCTTCCCAGTGGCTTCTACGGTTTCAAAGCTGCAGTATTTAACCTGTCAAGTTTGTATTAGACTTCCTGTGAGTTTCAGCAGACCTTCAAATAGCTTGATTCGGCTGCCAGTTTTTTTTATATATTTGATTAATATTGTATTTCCAGGTAAAAGCATTTTAACGTATGATAAAGTAGTCTTGTTGCAGAAAGAGATGCTGAAATAATGGGTTGATTTCATTTTCAGGAGCCGCTTGGACGGAACGAAGTCAAACACTTGGTAAGTGCTATTTTCTGCTTATAATACAGAAATTCTACCTGGAACAGTGAACAGCGAATTAGAGGCTTCTATTCTTTTCCATAACACATAGCAGCCCTCTTTACCAGTGGCTTAAACAGAACATGTTGCACTTGGAATGTGTGGCAGTCATTTGGAAGTGACCCTCTCTTTAGTCTATGGCGATTATGAAAAATGCACAGTGCATCCTGCAAGAATGAATATTTCATAAACATTCTGCATTAACAGGAGGCAGTACTTAAAATCCAGCAAATATACAATGCAATTTTCCCTTTATAAAATACACTGCTCAAAAAAATTAAAGGAACACTTTGAAAACACATCAGATCTCAATGGAGAAAAATATCATGCTGGATATCTATACTGATATGGACAGGGTAATGTGTTAGGAATGTAAGGATGCCCCATCGTTTGATGGAAATGAAAATTATCAACCTACGGAGGATTGAATTCAAAGACCCCCCGAAAATCAAAGTTAAAAAATGATGCAGCAGGCTAGTCCATTTTGCTGAAATTGAATTGCAGCAATTTAAAATGGTACTCAGTAGTTTGTATGGCCCCCACGTTGCTGTATGCATGCCTGACAATGTCTGGGCATGCTCCTAATGAGACGACGGATGGTGTGCTGGAGTATTTCCTTCCAGATGTGGACCAGGGCATCATTGAGCTCCTGGACAGTCTCAGGTGTAACCTGACGGTGTCGGATTGATCGAAACATGATATCCCAGAGGTGTTTTATTGGATTTAGGTCAAGTGAGCGTGGGGGCCATTCAATGCTATCAATTCCTTCATCATCCAGGAACTGCTTGCATACTTTTGCCACATGAGGTTGGGTTTTGTCATGCACCAGGAGAAGCCCAGGACCCACTGCACCAGCGTAGGGTCTGACAATGGGTCCATGAATTTCATCCCGATACATAATGGCAGTCAGGGTGCCATTGTCTAGCCTATAGAGGTCTGTGCGTTCCTCCATAGATATGGCTCCCCAGACCATCACTGACCCACCACCAAAACGGTCATGCTGAATGATGTTACAGGCAGAATAATGTTCTCTACGGCTTCTCCAGACCCTTTCATGTCTGTCACATGTGCTCAGGGTGAGCCTGCTCTCATCTGTGAAAAGCACAGGGTGCCAGTGCAGACCTGCCAATTCTGGTGTTCAATGGCAAATGCCAATTGAGCTCTATGGTGTCGGGCAGTGAGCACAGGGCCCACTAGATGATGTCGGGCCCTCAGGTAACCCTCATGAAGTCTTTTTCTGATTGGTCAGAGACATTGACACCAGGGGCCTGCTGGAGGTCATTTGTAGGGCGCTAGCAGTGCTCATCCTGTGCTACCTTGCTCAGAGGAGTAGATACCAGTCCTGCTGATGGGTTAAGGACCTTCTACAGCCTGTCCAGCTCACCTAGAGTAACTGCCTGTCTCCTGGAATCTCCTCCATGCTCTTGAGACTGTGTTGGGAGACACAGCAAACCTGGCAATGGCACGTTTTGATGTGTCATCATGGAGGAGTTGGACTGCCTGTGCAACCTCTGTAGGGTCCAGGTATCGCCTCATGCTAGTAGTAGTGACACTGACCCTAGCCAAATTCAAAACTAGTGAAAAACAGTCAGAAAAGAAGAGTACGGAAAAACATTTCAGTGGCCTCCACCTGTATAACCACTCCTGTTTTGGGGGTCATCTCATTGTTGCCCATCTAGTGCACCTGTTGTTAATTTCATTAACACCAAAGCAGCTGAAACTTATTAACAACCCCCTCTGCTACTTAACTGACCAGATCAATATCCTAGGAGTTTAATTGACTTGATGCTATACTCTGATTAAAAAGTGTTCCTTTAATTTTTTTGAGCAGTGTAGTATATGGTATAAATACTGTATGTATAAAATAATCATAACTTTGGGGGGCAGCTTTTAAACTTGGCTTTAATCAGGGCATTTCTTTGTCATCATACTTTTTCTAAAAGTAATTTAGTTTGAAGTATGGCTTATTTATAATGTACAATCCAGAGTACCTTTTAAAATATTAAGTTAAGTAGTAAAATTTCATATTACAAAATGTCCTCCAGTGTAATTACATATGTTGTACAGTGTAATGCAGCCATTCTCAAATGTTCTCACATGCTTGGTACAAGCACCTCTTCAATACATTATCAGTGACATTTAAAATTAATGCAAAACACAGCTTTATAGAAAACAGGGCACAAATATGCAAAAATAACAAATTAAAGCTGAACTTCAGGCAAAAAGATAAATACATAGATGTAATATGTATATGAGAGCCGTTTTACCCACCCTAGAATTCATATTTCTATTTACCCAGTTCTGATATTCAGACTGGCAGGGCAGAAGACCTGATTTTTCTCTGCTGTAGGTAAGTAATACTCACAGGTATTGTGCCTTCCCTAGCCTGTGACTCAACAGTAAAAGGTGAAGCATTGGACAGACAAGCTCAGGTCTTTTTCACGCTGCTCTTTCCTCCTATCGGCATGCTTCTTACTATCAGATGAGCACTGCAGCACAGATGATAGACTCTGCACTGCTTATCCCTCTCACAGCCTGAATTCTGCTACAAAGGGATTGCTAGAGGCTGATGCCAGGTCGAATTCAGGTACTTACATTTACAAAAATACATTTACTAATTTATTAATAAGCACGGTATCGCATTCATTTTTGTACTCTCTATCTGCCTGGAGTTCAGCTTTAAGCCACCAGTGTAGCCAGTTGCATTGTAACTGGATATTTTGAACAACAATAGATATTTGGTGGAATTTGGAACAAAAATATATTTCCCTGCTTGTCAAATATGTTGGGCCTTGCAAGCTCTTTAAAGTGGTTCTAAAGGCTAAAGGTTTTTACCTTCACGCATTCTATGCATGAAGGTAAATAACCTTCTGTGTGGAGCTGCTCCCCCCTCAGGCCCCCGTTATACTTACTTGAGCCCAATCTCAATCCAGTGATGTGCATGAAAGCAGCTGCTCCCCTGTCTTGTACCCTCCTTCCTGGCTCAGACACAGCAGCAGGAGAAATTGTCAACCACTGCTGTCAATCAGTGCCTGTGAGTAGGGCCACGTTTTGTATGGCTATGGACACATGGAGTGGAGCTCGGTAGTGAGCATGCACGAGTGCCCCCTTAGCAAGCGGCTTGTTGTGGGGGCACTCGGCATAATGGAGGAGCCCAGAGCACCGGCGGGGGACCCGAGAAGAGGAGTATCGGAGCTGCTCTGTGCAAAACCATTGAGGTAAGTATGACAAGTTTGTACATTTAATATCACTTTAAAGGTTTACATATCTTTAATATTGACTGTTTTGAAGAGTGTTTACACATAACTTTTTTGTAGGAACTGTATTTTAGGTCTGTGGGGCTTTCAGATGTAACCACAGTTGTTTAGTCTAAACCATAAAAAGAAACGCATAAAAACAAGAAAATGTAATATGATGTTATACAAGTAAGCAACCACACTATTATGGGGCCTCATTTATCAAAACTGAGCTGAGAAGTTGGACTCACTGCTGGGATCTTAAAGATCTGTAAGCCAGTGAGTGGTCCAGAATCATTCCAAAATCATGGAAATTGTTTGGCTTGGCGTAAGATATACTGTAATTCACAGAGAAACCTCCAACTACAATTAGTGGGCAGTAAATGATCTGCCTGCCCTTCTCAGGATCACACATTGTCAGAACCGTCTACATCTAACCATGTAATGCTGGTCTCATAGTTCTGCCGAGTTTATGTGACAGGTCCTCTTTGACTGATTTCTGCTATTATTGTTTTTAACTCTAGTCACTAGACTGTGTAAGGTTTATTTATCAGCTTTCAGAGACTATATAGCTTGGTTACAGATTGCATTTTTCTTAAAGTTTTTTCCAAAATTAACATTGCATTGCAATATTTGTTAAAATATTTGAAAACTGTCCCACAAACATGCAGATTTCAAATGTACAAATGTACTATATATATTTATATATATATATATATATATATATATATATATATATAATTGAGTTTTAAAAAGTGCAGAAAAAGTTTTGAAGAACCCTCGTAATTTAAGGCTTCCTTGTTTAAAGTCTATCAATTCACCCAAAGAGATTTGTCCCAACTGCAGCAGTGTGGAAGTGCACCACAGCAGTTATGTTTCAGTGTAAATGGCTCTGGTGATGACAAGATATTCGGTGGGAATTGTAGCAAAAATATCTTTCTCTCCTTATCAAATATGTTGGGCGTTCGTGAGCTCCCTAAAAGGTTTACATATTTGTATTATTGACTGTTTTGAATAATTCTTAATAAAACGCATAACTGTTTTGTTTTGTTTTTTGTAGGAACTGTATTTTAGGTCTGTGGGACTTTCAAATTTGTTTAGACTGAATCATAAAAAGAAATGCTTATAAAAAAGCAACTAGAGATAGATGAGCAATGAAGCACTTTAAACATCACAGAAAAAGTCCAAGTTAAACTGAATGTGACTAACTACTGTATCTGTTTGTAGGAGACCCATGGATTTGCAGACATAAATTAGATTTTGTTTTGTTTTGTTGTAGATAAAGGCATACAAAAGTACAGATTTTCAAGGGGAGAGTGTTGACTTCACACAGCAAGTGTCAGATTTCAGTTCTTTCATGCCCAAGTCCTTCAAGGTCTTAAGGGGATGGTAAGATGGTATATTACTTTGTCAGTATGCATTAAATACATATAATAGTGGAAAGGACCCATACGCATTTTACAAAAGAGGTCAGAATGTGCTTTCTAACATTCCCCCACCTACACTGCACCAAACATGGTTGAAAGTGAATCCTTCATTCATAAAAAAGATGTTTTTTTTTCTCTCTGCCTGTGGATGATGGACATTTTCCCATGTTTGAACTAATTGAGAAACTCAACAGGGCTATGGTAGATGGAGCTGCAAACTCAGACACAGAGATCCTAATTGTTTAACTTACTGACACCTTCTAAAAACTTTGATATAGGTTTCACTGGACTTACCCTTTAAAACAACACTTTGGTAGCTTTAAAGTTGTAGCTATCACACCTCAATTGCCTGTATTCACCTTTTAATATTATAGGATATTATTTTCATGAGTGTCCATGTATCACAAAACCCATGGCACTCAAAAATACTAATCTTGTTTTTTTCTGAGGGGGCTGAGTGCACCCTTGCCACACCCTACAGTTCTTTATTAAAGATTAAGGCCAAGCTTTCATTTGCCAGTATGGAATTATGAGTGGTGGGGCAAAATGGGCCAACCCTTAGATTTCGAATTTCTGATTCTTAGATTTCTAAAGCTCTGCTCTTCTAGCAGTTGCATTGTGACTCTTACTTTAGAGACTTTACATTTAGGAAAGAGTTCCTTTAAGCTATTATCGAACAAGTTTAGCCATGTATATGGCTCTTCTGTTAGTAAAATTAAAAGAAAGTTTTTGTTTGATTACCCTAGTAATTTGTTGACTTTGTATTATCATAATTTAACCATGATCATTATGTTTTGGGTAGTATTCAAAGACATCCCAGACCTAAACCTCTTCTTGACATGGGTGCCTCCAGCTTTACAGATAAGCAAATAGGATGCATAATGTGTTGATTTCTGTTGTATAAGCCCATCCCCACATCTACCAGCAAGTGTACAGTGGATATAAAAAGTCTACACACCCCTGTTAAAATGTCAGGTTTCTGTGATGTAAATAAAATGCAACAAAGATAAATCATTTCAGAACTGTTTCCACCTTTAATGTAACCTATAAACTGTACAACTCAGTTGAACAACAAACTGAAATCTTTTAGGTGGAGGGAAGTAAAAATAAAAAACTAAAATAATATGGCTGCATAAGTGTGCACACCCTTAAACTAATATTTTGTTGAAGCACCTTTTTGATTTTATTACAGCACTCAGATTTTTTGTGTATGAGTCTATCAGCATGGCACATCTTGACTTGGCAATATTTGCCCACTCTTCCTTGCAAAAACACTCCAAATTTGTCAGATTGCAAGGACATCTCCTGTGTACAGCCCTCTTCAGATCACCCCACAGATTTCCAATCAGATTCAGGTCTGGGCTCTGGCTGGGCCATTCCAAAACTTTAATCTTCTGGTGAAGCCATTCCTTTGTCAATTTGGATGTATGCTTTGGGTCATTGTCATGCTGAAAGATGAAGTTCCTTTTCATGTTCAGCTTTCTAGCGGAAGCCTGAAGGTTTTGTGCCAGTTTTGACTGGTATTTGGAACTGTTCATAATTCCCTCTACCTTGACTAAGGTCCCAGTTCCAGCTGAAGAAAAACAGCCCCAAAGCATGATACTGCCACCACCATGCTTCACTGTGGGTATGGTGTTCTTTTGGTGAGGTGCAGTGTTGTTTTTGTGCCAAACATATCTTTGGGAATTATTGACAGGACAGAAAATTCAACCTTGGTTTCATCAGACTAGAACACATTTTCCCACATGCTTTTGGGAGACTTCAGATGTGTTTTAGCAAAATTTAGCCAGGCTTGGATGTTTTTCTTCATAAGGAAAAGCTTCTGTCTTGCCACTCTACCCCAGAGCCCAGACATATGAAGAATACGGGAGATTGTTGTCACATGTACCACACAGCCAGTACTTGCTAGATATTCCGGCAGCTCCTTTAATGTTGCTGCAGGCCTCTTGGCAGCCTCCCAGACCAATTTTCTTCTTCTTTTCATCAATTTTGGAGGGACGTCCAGTTCTTGGTAATGTCACTGTTGCTTCATATTTTCTCTACGTGATGATGACTGTCTTCACTGTGTTCCATGGTATATCTAATTCCTTGGAAATTTTTTTGTTCCCTTCTCCTGACTGATACCTTTAAACAGTGAGATCCCTCAAATGCTTTGGAAGCTCTCTGCAGACCATGGCTTTTGCTGTAGAATGCAACTAAGAAAATGTCAGGAAAAACCTACTAGATCAGCTGAACTTTATTTGGGGTTAATCAGAAGCACTTTAAATAATGGCAAGTGTGTACTGACTCCTATTTAACATGATTTTGAATGTGATTACTTAATTATGAACACAGCTACATCCCCAGTTATAAGAGGGTGTGCAAACTTATGCAACCACATTATTTTAGTTTTTTTGTTTACTCCCCCCCCTAAAAGATTTCAGTTTGTTTTTCAGTTAAGTTGTACAGTTTAGAGGTCACATTAAAGGTGGAAAAAGTTTTGAAATTATTTATCTTTGTCTCATTTTTTACATTACAGAAACCTGACATTATAACGGGTGTGTAGACTTTTTATATCCACTGCATGTTTTGCAGGTAGAATGACAAATGCATAGGTGAAGTTTGTACATCTCATAAGTGGAGTTGAGCTTTCTGTGCATTATGTAGACTTGAGATCAAGTTTGTGGAAACACTGCAAGAAGATAAAGAGCAGCTTTTCAATATAATAATAATAATAATAATAATAATAACAATGTCACATATGATAATATCACAAGTAAAAATGTTTTAGTGGTTTGTTTAAAGTTGTAATGGAGACTAATACAGTATATCTAATAAATTACTTGCAAGAACATTCGATTTTGGGCTCCATTGTGATATGGATGAGTCATTTGTGTACTCTATAAAGTGATGTGCAGTATGTTTCCACTGTATTAAATGCTTAGGACACTAAAATTATTTTTAGATGGATTTTTATTTAATCATGCGATTTGTGATTTTAATATGTTATAATCCTTCTCTTGTATTTTCCAGCTGGCAGTTGTGCTACCAAGTTGATGCATGTGACAATGTGTGTGTGTTAGAAGAGGGACATTTCCCTGACTTGGCTTCTTGTGGATGTCCTGCAGCTGAGATCAAATACATCCAGCCAATAGATTATGTAAGACATCTGTGCACATCTCATGTTCATTGTCCTCAATGTGCTATATGTTATTAGTTGATTTCAGGTCTCTTCTGATTATTTGATTTAAATGTTTCTCCAAAATATGTGTAAGTTGTACCATTTGTGTGCAGAAAACTTTACACTTGCCTTATGGACAAAAAAATAAATGTTCCAGTGATGATATAGCCTTGTATGCTTTTGGTGATGGATGAGTAAAAAAAAGCACAGATTTTACTCATTTTGACACTGTATTCAAAATGGTTTAAAAAGGGCTGAGCTTTAATAATGAATGTGACTGCTAGAAATGTGTTTACAACCCAGAACAAGCTATTTTAAGAGTCACTGATATCTACTGTGCATTTCAGCCCAAGTCATTGGAAATCCATGGAGCTGCATTTTTTTTCCTTTTTTTGGGGTTTGTTAAAATTTTGCTAATAACAACCACAAAAAAAAGGTGCATAATGCCTTTCCAGACTGGCTCAAAAGGCATTTGTTCTTATATAACCATAGCAAGAGGGCCACAAGCAATAGGTAAAGGGAGGTAAGTGGCTGACCTGTTTTTTTTATCACCAATAAAGTGAAAGGAGAAGATTTCAATAGCCTGATTGAAAAGACTTCACCAGAAATTAAATCTATCCCCCATTTTGTACAGTTATCTTTTTATTACCCGGCAATTTTATACTTACCTGTCCCATTGCTGTGCTGCCTGCTGGGCATATCCTCTTTTCTTGGAATCTCTCTGCTGCCCACTGCTTCACAGCATTCTTTCTGGGGGATATTTACTAAAACAGGAGCACACAGAGTTTGGTGCAGCTCTGCATACCGGTAGTAACCAGTCAGTTTCCAGGTTTTATCATCAAAGCTTGATTGAACAAGCTGAAGTTAGAAGCTGATCGGTTACCATACACAGCTGCACTTGATTGTGAATGTTCCAGTTTTGCTAAATCTGCCCCTCTGTTCATTCCTAAAGTAGGCTATCCATTATTTGTCCCAACACTGATGGGCATTTCATAGGAATGAATGAGGATTCTTTCATGTATGCACAAAAAAAAAAAAAAAAGCATAGCCTAACTTAGAGACCTTCAAAGACGAGGCTGTGCAGCTTCCAGTGGGCCACACAGTGAAGATCTTGGAGGAACAGGGATGGTAAGTATAAGACTTGAAGGGATGGTGAATGGAGAACTATGAATGGAAGGGGCGGGCATCCACCCATCCTCCATTCTTAAATCCTGTTTCATTCAGAGAAGCTGTAGTACTGCTTCTATGAATGGCATAACTGGGTAGGGGCAGGCATAGTCTGGTAGTCTGTAAAAACTCATTAGTTATATTAAACCCGGCCAAACAGGAAGATTACAGCAGCAGAGTTGGGGGGAGGGTGCAGGATGGAGAAAAATGTTCATTAGAAGAAGAGACATCAGCACAAGGGACACATCCTACTGGCTGTAAGTTATGCCCCTTGTGTTGACTTTTCTGTTTGTGATTTTTGCTGCACTCAGGAGACCAAAGCTGCTTCTAGCTCAGAATTCATGAACCACATAAAATATCCTAGTAAAGCAATGAAATTATGTTCATGGGGCATGTCAAATTATTTAGCACCCATCCAATGTGAAAGGACACACAGGTTGCAATTCTTACTGCAGTGGCCTCAGACTCAAAATAAATTTAGCAATGGCACTATGAGCCATTATTCAAATCTGAACTATGCCAAACATGAACTAAGCATTGATGGACAGATAAATCTGTTGTTATATACAGCAGAAAGCAGCATAATTTTCTTTTGCATGGTACAGTAGATACAAATGACAGGTAAACAGACTTTGATCCAAGTTAAGTTACTTAAGGAGAATGGAAGGTTTTGTTTGGTGAATAAAGTAAAGCTATGTTCACCTTGAATACCTAGTCATGTGTAAGGGAAATGTAAAAAAGAATCTATTTTTCTTGATTACATTATTCAGGTATGCACAGCTTCATCATATTTACTAACCAAATGAATGTTTTAGTAAATCAACCATATTCATCTATTATTTTCAGTGTTAAAATCTTTATGAAAATGTTTCATCTGATTGCAGATCTTTGCTGAGCCCTCTATTAGTTTATTTGCTCTGGACTCCTGTGAGGGGAGAGAGCTACATTTTGAGGAGGCTGTCACCTCTGTCCTGACCGAGGACCATCATTTCTATACCCAGTCTGTATGGGTAAGAAGAGGCCTGTAAGTACCAATTATCATTCTGCTACTCTATGCAATATAAGTGTAGATTATATTAATAGCTAGTCTCAACCACAGTAGATATTTCAGTTTTGTGTGGTTTACAAAAAATGAAGGACAGGGTTTAACACATTACGTCCTTAAAGAGAACCCATTATGTACAGCCATTGCATACTTCCTAACGACTAATTGTTCTGCTGATCCTCAGACTTCACTACTTAATGAGTTGTTGACCTGAGAATTTTTCAGCTGAGGAAGTCAGAGCTCCCAACCTGCAAACTTGAGTAAGCTACTAGCATTTTTAGAAGGAGGCTGGCAATGTCAGCACACATATTTCACCTCTATCAAAATGTTTATTTAAATATCATTTACCATTTTATGGTGGTCTGTGACCCCATTGGAAACAATTATCCTGTATTCCTGCTAGGTCAGGGAATGATGGGAAATCTTTTCAGTGGATGACACAGACCTGCAACACATCACTTCTTTTCGCACTAGAAGCTCTGACAGGTTGGTATTGCTGCCCCGTCCTCCAGACCCGTTTGACTCATTTCTTTCATGGAGACAGGAAGTGAGGTGAATTTTTATTAACAGATCAAAGACATGAATAAAAACATAAAACAGCCATGTTTTGGCTGGAGTTGGGCTTTAGAGGACAATGAAAGGCCATTATAATGTAAGTAATAGATAAAGTTAGATTAATGTAAAGCTGTAGGCAAAATAAGAAATATGGCATTCATTAAACTTTAACCTTTTTAAAGCTGATTTGCACATTCTTTTCTTTAAAAAGTTGTATTTTTGTTCTTGAAAGAAGCTGTTACTTGACTTTCCATGGCTGCTGTTGTGCACTTTAAGTCAAACAGTAGGAGGGTTGATCCCCTTGTAAACATAAGCTCCCATGTAGTCCCAGCACCAGTATGACTTTCTCTCCAACAAGTCCCATTAGCATTAGCAGGGCAAGGCTGAGATCGGCTGGGCTGGCCACGGATGGGCAACTCCCTGATAATCAAGCTAATAGCTTCTCTATTAGGGAGACAATTTCCTAGTAACTCCATGATTCTGCATCTTCACATTGCACTTAGTCCAACAGGCACAGTGATCGCAAGTGGGACAGTGATGCCATAATTTCCCAGGAGGCAGGCGAGCATTTCCTCCATGTAAAAGGAAGTGTCATGCTACGGACTGGACTGGCAGGATCACTATATATTTTGGGGACTTGTACAGGGGTTTAAAAGAAACACACAAGGGCAGATGAATTTTACTATTTATAGTGCACAATATGTTTATTTGTTATGTTTGAGTATAGTTATACTTTCTCTAAAGGAAGCATTTTATTGAGGCAGCTTTACCTCTTGTACCCTTTGAAGGTGTAGCCATTGCTAAATAACTTTGCTTAGAAGTATGTCTTTCCTTCACAAAGACTGATGACAATGTTGTTTCTTTTATTTGCACTGACACTCACCTACACTGCTGATTACCACCTTCAAACTAAACAAATTGTGAAAGGAAATGTTAAGCATTCCTTTTGCTGGTATTTGAACACGCCTGTTTGCACATTCTTGTATTTGTGGCTCTCTGGAATTGCACTTTGTGTCTTCTTAAGAACTTTTCTGAATTGCCTTGTTTGTTTTGTGACAGCAAGAAATCCTACTCACTCCTTTACTACTTGAGATGACAAGAATTAGTCTGTAAACACATTTTCATCTGTTAAAAGACACTTACAGTGTATACACATTTTTCAAATCTCCAAAACCAAACTGTACTAGATCTTCATGCTGCATGACCAAAATATTTAGAAAGCTTTGACCCTATACAGATAAAGGACATTACACAAAGGAAAGTAAGAGTGTCTTCTTTCATGTGTGCACCTACTTGTCACTTTATTGCATGCATGTGTTTAGTACCACATAGGACCTCCTTTTGCCTTTATTGTTCATTGCATGAATTTATGGAGAGGTTCTGGAAACCGTTCTTAGGGATTTAGCTTCTGGTATGCCTCACATTTATACAGAGTAGTTCCTTTTTCACCACAGCCCAAGGGCCACTGTGTACACCACATGCTACTCTGTAATCCGTATGTTACAGCAGAATTTGAGATTCTTTAGGTTAAGTTTTGTTGTTTCATTCTTTGGCTGTCTAGTGTTATTGATCCTGTGCTCACAGCCTCATTTCTTGTTCTTAGCTGACAGGAGTGGAAACCAACATGGTCTTCTGCTCCTATAGCCCTCTTCAAGGTTCAATGTGTTTTGCTTTGTGGGTTCAGATATGTCTTTCTACAGATCACTGTAGTTGAAGGGAATCTTTCACTTTGCACATTCTTGATAGGGTACTTTACTCCCACATTGATATACACATTGTTGTGCTCCTCCATCCATTAAATACATTAAATACTCAGAATCAGTTCTTGCAATCACAAGGCCTGAACATGATCATGTGAAAGAGAGAGGAGAGGTTATAAACCCTATGCAAGCTCTGACACTGGTGTTTACAAATAGTTGTGACTCCGCTCTATGACAGGTAAATGGAAGGTCAGGGAAGGCAGAGAAGAGCAGGGAAGGTAAGAATCAGTGGGTGTGGGCATGTCCCATCAAGAGAAGCTTCTTTTAGAATGCATGTGAGCAGTTGTGGACTTCTGCTTCCATTAACAAATTTAGCTTTTTTCACAGTGTTTTTACCTACAGAACCCTCCCTCACTCACTGGCTGTTCTTTGTTATCTTAACCAATCTGTGTAAACACTGCAGACTGCAAAACATGAAAATCCAAAGAGGCCAGTCGTTTCTGAGATGCTGCAGTCTCTACATCTAGCACCAACAAGTTGCTTACATTAAACATTTTCCATTGTTGTTTTCCCCAAAGTTAGATCTACCTTTGAATCTCTTGACCAGGTATGCCCGTATCATGGATTTAGTTGCAACCAGATATCTTACCTTTTGACTATTTGCATGCAAAAGCAAATGTACCTAATAAAGTAGTCAGTTTTGGCAACTATCATCTCCTGCCTGTATGTATCCTGAGCCTTGTGTGTAGTGTGTTGGTTTGGTTGGGGCACTCCATGGGTACGGGACCACTCAGGGACCACCAAGCAACTTTAATAAACTAGTAAGTTTAGTTCTTCATTTTGTTGCAGCCCATTATCATTTTAATCCAATAATCTCTTTTTTCCTTAGAATGCTTCTTTAATCTTCCATATGAAGAGATTGTTTGTTTTTTTCCAGAAATGACAGGAAAAATCATTGACGATGTGTCTGTAATTTTTGTAACTGATACAAAAGATTTCTTATGCTTCTACAAGCGTATTATAGTTGAATTATTAACTCTACACTGGTTGATAGCTGGTGAAAGTTAAATAGAGCTTTACTGCATGCACAATGATGTGAGCACATGCCGTGCAACATTGTTTGTACACTATAAGCCTAGTGACATGCTTTTGTCCTATTGGCATACTGAAATAGCATTACTAATTACTCTGAGAGACTCCAGCAATAGAATGTGGGTATACTGGTTCCAGAGAAACTGAAATGTTACTCCAGGCTGTTTTTTTTTTATATTGTATCTGAATATAAGCCGAACTTGTTATTTTGAATGGGAATTTTCAGTCTGATTGATTATATATTTTTGTACAAGTCATTTTATTTTAATCATTGAGGTATTTTGCAGTCAGCCTGGGGCAGGATTCCAGCAATGCACTCCCAGAGATATAACTAGCCCATCAAGAAAAGGAAGTGTTTGAGATCTGGTGTATACAGGACCCGTGACACCAGTGGAGGAGCATATACCAGAGTTGTAGAATTCACTGTCAGAATACAGTATAGCCGACTGAACAAAAACTGAGCTTATTTCCCCATGCACACTTTTGAGGTGGATGTGAAATCACCCCCACTGTGTCATTGTATTCTGACAGCAGGACTCCCCCACCATCAGAATACAGTGATCAGCGCTGCAACCCATTGGCTGCATGCACTGATCAATTGTTGGTTTTCCAGCAGGTCCATTTGACAGAAGCTGGTCTAACGACTGGCTTCTGTTGAACAGACAAGGCAAATTATTATTATTTTAGATTTACTACTTGCTACTCAAGTATTGCACTAAGCCTGTTCTCTGCCACTTCTCCTGAGTCACTTACTGCTATGCTGTGAATAGGCTGTGAACTTTGATCTGCTGCTATTCAGGTCTGTTCACAATGTACAAAACAGGAGAAAGAATAAAGAAAAACTTAGCTTTTTTTTTAACAGCGCCACGCGGGTAGCTCTAGGCTATTTTTTATTGGTATTACTGTTATTTGTACACTGATTGCCTTGATTGATGATTATGGGATTTTTACAGGTTTGGCAGGAATATAATATCACAGTACCATCATGAGTAGGTAGTACTGGGTTCCCATTAGTCAGTTTGCTGTAAATGTTTGTTAATTTATGACTTTGGTGGCTGTTTATGATGCAGCGGTAATTCACTGCTGAGCAGATCGCTGGCATTCTCAGAGTGAAGTCTTCTACTCTGAGTGCTGGGTTATTAAGCTGTGAAGATCGGTTCTGTTCAGGATGCTCAGAATGCATAGAAACTGTTAATGCAAGCTGTAATCTCATGAGAAATTCCAACATTACAGTGTTGATAATGTACAATTGAAAGGAAAACACCAATCACGAACTAATACACTTCTCAATTAAATAAAAAAAATAAAAGTTAAAGTTCACCACTCACATAGGCACCCCTTTATTTTATCTAACTCTATATAAATATATATATATATTTATATACATTTATATGCAACACTGGTAGTTCCGGCACTCTCTCTCTCTCTCTCTCTCTATATATATATATATATATATATATATATATATATATATATACACTGCTCAAAAAATTAAATGAACACGTTGAAAACACATCAGATCTCAATGGGGAAGAAATATCATGCTGGACATCTATACTGATATGGACTGGGTAATGCGTTAGGAACGTAAGGATGCTCCATCTTTTGATGGAAATGAAAATGATCAACCTA